TCAGCTGCATCCAGGACCTTGTCTTTTGCTGATTTCATTTACTTTTTGCCTTGCTTTGCATGCCAAATTATTTGATATTTACATCTGATATGCAAGTTAATCACATGATGTTTGCATTTTGCAGCTTCAGCAGTAGAACCTTATGCAACAACAGGTTCCTTATGCAACAACACATATAAAAGTGAATCAGGAGATGATTGCAGGTCAAAACCAAAAAGGTGGCAGGCCTCTCGTCTCTGTTTTACATTTGTGATGTCGCAACTACCGGACGGTCATTCCTAAGGGAAAACCTCCTAGAGATAGTGTGACCACTTGAAGAATACTTAGCTTGCAGAATTTTCAAAAAGAACCTTATCTTTCTTGAAATCAATTGTAAAATATGCAGGCTCTTTTTGAGCATTTGCAATGCAAGGCAAAGTAAAAAAAAAAAATCATGGTGAATCATTGAGTGGCCTGATCCCTTTTTGGGTGCCTTGTGTTTTTAATCCCAAAGTGAAGAATTAGAAAGCCAAATAGTTCCTCAAAGAGGCCTTGGTATGGGGTTAGCCTCCCCTCCCCCTAAACACATGCTAGTTCTTTCACTCCATACACTGCAAGGTGAGTCTTGTTTATGGCAAGGAGGTGCAGCTCATTCTGGTGAATTTGGATGTAAGTATCTGACAATGATCTCAACTCCTTCCCATCTGGAATCTGCAACAATTTGCTTCTCTGTTTTTCCCACCCAGCAGCACCCCACACAAAAATCTGCAGGGCCAAAACGACTTCGATCATTAAATAACAGATGTCACATTAGAGTAGAAGCCATGTCTGAAAGTAATATTGTAGTTTCCAATATGCATCAGCACCAGAAGAAACTAGTACATTCAGAGTGTTCGAGAAGGCAAGGCACTCTTTTGGCGTGACCCTCAAGCTTCCTTGCAACCTGCAAAATATATAAATCGAGGCAATGACAAACTTTTCAGGGTTTGCTTCATCACAACATCGAGCATGATTTGTGTTTTTTTACAAGAACAAACAAACTACCTCGTCTGAGTGGAGATTGTATATTACAATGGTGGAATTGTCCATGCCAATAGCAACTCTATTGTCATCTTGGGGGTGAAAAGTAAGACATGTTGCCGCAGGTGGCGGTGGCATGACTTTCTTCATCGTCTGTGTTTTTACGCAACAGATTTTTATGAGTACGAGAAATTTGCAAACAGAACCTAAGCATATTGGCAAACAAGATTTGGGAAGTTTTGGCTGGGAAAAGAAAATTTCAAGAACACTATTTGTGTTGGGTTTACCTTAAATGTTGTCATGTCAAAAATGGAGATCATCCCTCCTGTTGCTGATATGAGATATGAATCATTCTTGGACAAACCAAAGCAGGACATCGAGTCTTCGGGGTTGGTGCTGGGAAGGTCATTGTTCATCAGCTCTAAGCCACTCCTTGGTTTCCGTAAATTAGGGTGAACCTTGGGAGTTGCCTGCATTCAATTAATATCATCATAATCAAATGACCAACTATTGCTCCGATTTCAATTTCGAAAGGAAAGAGAGGAGATATCTAATAGGAAAGAATTATAAAGCATGTCATTCTTTACCACTCAACTAGAATTAAGGTCCTGTGGCCATTTCCAGTGAAAATGAATGCCATTTGATATTAACACCAAAATGGCATGAGCTCCGGAGAAAATAAATAGTATAGCCGATCGGCTATACTATGTATTTATAAAATTTAAAAATAAAAACCGCCTAGCCCGCCTAGGCGGCCGATTTTTCGAAAAACTTGAATGGCGTTTTGTTTTTTCAGATTTCTTTTTTCCAAGCGGGTCTGGCATCTCTGCAAATACATTTTTGTCAATTCTCAGTAACGTAATCTGGGTGAAATGCAGCTTTTGGATCCATAAGATGGGCAAAAAGAGTAAATCAAAAACTCCCAGAGAGATGCAAGATAATACAGCTGCTGTAGATGAGGAAAAACCCCTCATCTTCGGCTAAGAAATTGCTAAATCATTGGTTGAGATTCAGTTCAGGTTTACCATGCATATATTTTGGTTTTAATTTATGTTTCAATTACTAGACATATGAAGCCTCATCTGATCCTACTTTCTGCAACAGGAACACTTGGAGAGCAATGAGGGTGATCCTGAGCTACTTGTTTACATTCCGTATCCACTTTTGTTGTTTTACGTGTTATCTTCAGGACATGAGTTAAAGAATGCATGAACATGAAATGGATGGGACAGGGAGATCCATTGGTTGAGTACTTGTACCTATTTTTCCATATTTTCAGTCAATTTCAATTCCAACACGTCTTGTTAGATCTCCATAGTCCGATCTGTATCAATTTAAGTATGGGATTCAACCTTAGTAGCATCTCCAGGTTCACCTAAAACAAACATAACACTTAATTTGTGTGTCTTTTATAATTATATTTTGTTCTTGTGCTCATCTGCTAGCCTAAATCTTATGTTAAACATAGCTGTACTTATTTATGAAACATTTGTGTTGCATCTTGAGAAATTTTATTAAAACCTACCATTTTAAGACCAAGTTATCTCTGATATCGTTACTTTACGTTCTGATTAAGTTATATCTTGTTCATTTATTTTTGATAGATTTACATTAGATGTCAAGATCAATAGCATTTCAATCATTGGAGGTGCTGACGGAACAAGTCCTTCCAAGATGAGGGCGTAAGTTCGAACTTTAATATTTTCTTTTAGCTCCTTCATTTTAGGACCTACCTGATTGGAACAATGAGATTGTCTGTGTTCATGAATTTATTTCAGTGGCGTAGTTCTTGAAGGAGGTATGCATTCGTCTGTTAAAGACAACATTTTGCAAGGAGTATTGCCATGCGGCTATACTGCTGTAATACTTGAATATATGCAAGGCGTATAGCCGTGCGGCTATAATTTTTCTATACTTCAATGTATGCCAGGAGTATAGCCCCCCCGGCTATACTGTTTGAATAATTGAATATATGCAATTTTTTTAAAAATAAATTTTTTTAAACATTGCAAAATAGGCTAGTGATATTAAGCAATTAGTGGTAATAAACACGGTGGGATTTTGTCAATCTCTTGGGCACTTCAAATTTAAATCAAGTTAGTTGATTGCCTAGTTAATTTACTCATCACTAAGAAAATTTTATCCCAAAGAAAATTCAAATAATTAATTACTATTTATGAAGTAATATTATTTATGTAGTTAATTAAAAAAAATTAATATTAATTACTCACTAAAGAAATAATAATTATTAATGAAAGTAATTAAATAAGGCTAAGATATTATTTAATTATAAAAAAGAAAATAAAAAAAACTACTGATTGACTTAAAGAAACTAATTTTATATTTTTTGAAAAATGATACACTTTTGAATGTTTAAAGCGTTATACTGTTTAAATACTTGAATATATGCAAAGCGTATAGCCGGGCGGCTATGCGGTTTCAATGCATCAATATATATGCAGGAACTAGGCTATAAGGTTTCAATGCATCAATATATGCAGGAACTATAGCCGTGCGGCTATACTGCTTCCATACATAATATAGCCGTGCGCCGGCTATACTGTTCCAATACTTGTATATATGAAAGGGTTACAGCCGTGCGGCTATACTGTTTCAAAAGTTGAATATATGGAAGGGGTAGAGCCCTGCGGCCATACTGTTCCAATTCTTAAATGCATGCCAGGAATATAGCCGTACGGCGATACGGTTTCAATACTTAAGGATTATAGCCGTGCGGCTATACTGTTTCAAAACTCAACACCATCGGAACAAAACAAAAAACAAAATTTTCTGAAAAATCAAATGAAATGAGTTCATCAAATAATTTCTGAGACTGCCCACCTCAACCCAATTGCCCAATTGAGACACTTCATAGATATTTGTGAACAAGAGATTTGAACCTGTTTGCGTCTGAAATGGCGATCGAAGATCTTGATCCTTGAGCTTTGAACCCCATCACTGTTGTCAGTACAGAGAGTATTTGAGAATAAGATTTGAGTGTGGAGCTTCCCTTCTTGTCCTCGATAACCAGCTACTCCGGCAGAGAGAAGACAAGCCTCTCATTTTTGCACTCCAGCTATTGTGTCTTGGTACAACGTTTTGCACTCTTGCCTCTTTGAAATGCTAGTTATTATTATTTTATTTATTTATTTTTATTTATTTATTTATTTTGGCGAAAAATAGAATTACAAACCAAAACCTCTAGGGTGTGCGGCCCAAAGAGGTCGAAAAAACAAGCAAGAGCAACAGAGAGTCCATGATTTTTTTCAATTTTTTGATTTGTTGTTTTATTCATTTGTAAAGTTGTGGATGAATTTCCTAATTTACTTTTGAGTTCAATAGAAAAATTAACAAAGTTAACGGAAATGACCAATAGTAAAATACATAACCTAATTTGGGGATGACAACAACCTATTATTAAAATTCAAAATCAAAAATATAAATTCGTGTATAATTTAGAAATCATTGCTATTATTTAACCAAATAAAGTTCAACGTAGTCTAAATTACAAGAGATGAGTTTCTCACACACTACTACTTAAAAAAACTTATATGTAACTGAGGTAATATTATTTTATTATTTTCGACCAATAACATAATAATACTTGAAAAAATTATTATACATATTATTGCGTTATTAACCGGAAACATCAGAAAATACCATTTTCCACTTGGATTGGATTTGTTCTTTTATTTCTCCACCTTTAAACTCTACGATTGCTACTTTTATAAAGAAAGAAGAGAAAAAAATCCCGACATCAACCTGGAGACAATATTTTAAAGATTGCGAAACAAAGAAAAACATTGCTAACCATCCAAGAATTAAGAACCAAGGTCCAAGAATGTCAGTAATATCTCTGACGTGCTCTCAGACAACACTGTGCTATTCTTCAAAGCCACCGCACAGCTTTTTGACAGATTTTGAGAACTCTGTGATCCCAAGAACTTCAATTCCAGCTTTTGCTCTGAAATTATCAGCATATTCTCAAAGATTATTGAGGAATGGGAACTTGGTTTCTCGCAGAAACAGATTTCATGCGAATTCTGCTGACTCAGATGCAGATACAAACGAGTTGGAAACCCAGTTGTCTCGGGAAAATGGTGCAGTTTCCAGTAATGGTGGCAACCCATCAACCAGCTTTTTATCCGTGCTCTGTCCCTTGCTCAAGCTCTTCTCCGTCAGTCTCTCCTATCCTTTTCTTTCTCTTTTCTTTTTCCAGTTTTTATTTATATTTTTTAGCAAAATCTAGCAACTTTTTTTGGGGTCAAAACTCTACTAAAATCGCTATGTACCTTTTCTTTTTCTTTTTTTGAAGTGTGCATTGGCATGGAAAAAAATTGTGAAAATCACATTATGTAATATGCGGACCGTAAAAAGGAACAGTCTTATCAGCTTATGACTCATCTCTTTCAAGAAAATCTTCTGGTGGGGAAGTAGTCTTTAACTGTGTTCTTGATTTTCAATGTCTATAGAAAATTGTTTTTCTGGACCACTGCTAGCATCAGGGAAAGATGCCAGCTAATATGCAGTTGAAATATGACAGAACTCTATCCAATATTTGATTTTTTCAAGAAGCCTCCTAAGTAATCACAGACTAATTACAATCTTAGTGGAAAAAATGGGGAAAAATTGTTCATATATGTTGTTCTGCAAACTTTGTTTTTGCAATGGTAGCTACATTAAACATATTAATCACCGTTTACAATCCCCCTACCTTAAGATGATTGGTATTTGGCACTGCATTAGTGCTCACATCTGAGTGCATGGCTTTGTTTCTTTTCACACTAAGATCTTTTCACAATTTTCTGTCATTTACTATGCCACTCTTTTTTGTGCCATAGAGCTTTTGCATGCAAATACGTGTCAAATTTATCAATATCCATTACCTGAATGTGCATTCTATATGGCATAGGAAGAAGAACCACTTCTTCCTGAACATAATGCTAGGTGTTTGATTTTAGACCTCAATCCCTCTTCTGTGGAGGGTGTTTTCTATAGGGTACATGTGTTTCCTACGCACAAACCTACCTTTAGGCCATGTGGACAAGTATATTAACTGATGGTCCTTAAAGACATGCATTCATGGCTCATATTCCTGACTGCTGAGCATAGTACCATGTATTGAGATTCATGTATCATTGTTGCTTCTTCATAGTGCAAACTACTGAATTTTATACTCTCGTTTGTGATTCAAAATTGAAATGCAGTGTTGACCATTTGGCATTTGTTTCCATCATTTCACCATTGTTTTGTCTTGTTTCTGCAGGGAGGAGATCCCTCTCAAGAACGGAACTTTACTTTGACTAAAATTTTCATTTCCTCCCTTTTTTTTTTTTTTTTTTTTTTTTTTTTTTTTTTTTTTTTTTAATTTATTTTTGCTACTGTGGAATTGTGGTGGCTAAAGAATACTTTTTTTTTAATTACTTGGCACAAATGTAGTTGACCTTTTGCTGTTTTATCTGGATGAGACTGTAGAGTACTATAGAAACCTATTAGGATTTCCAACATCCTTACAAATAGGATTGGGCTGTAACTTCATCATGTCTTGTCATTGTGTGTGTGTTTGTTTCTGCCTTATAGGTGTTATCAATTCATGCATGAATTTGGGTCTAGAGTTAGTTTTGCACCAGGAAGATGCCTATCTCTGAATAACTCAACTCTTAGCTGACCCTAATAGACTTCCACCTTTTTGGCTCTCAAAATAGGTAGTACATCTTCATTGTCTACCTTCACCAGATTCCCTTGGGGATCAAGATCTCTATCACAGAATTTGGACAGACAGCACCTCACTACCTTGGATCCTCCTATGCATTTGCAGCTTTTTGAATTTGGTAAGCATCTTTTTTATTATAAGAGTGCAAATACAGCAATAGTAACTTTTTTTCTTTTAGAGTTTTAGTATTTTGGAAAACGATTTTCACCATTGAGGATACCATTATGTCAACCATGGGTATAAATTTGTATAGACCAATAACAGGGTATAAATTTGTATAGACCAATAAAAGGGTAAAAACTTGTGTATCAGCATATGATTAGCACTAAGAAGCAAATTGTTTTGTTGGCCATGCAAATATGCCTAAATTAGTTCTTACTGTTTGGTACAGTCTATTGTCAATGTTGATTTAACCTTAATAGGGATTAGAAACTTTCCCTTGTTGAATTTGCAAACTGATTTTGTCAACAGAGGCATGCCCTTTTTGCAGGAGGGTTAGAGAAGCTTTGACTGAGCTAGATCTTTCTGCAGAGGTGAGTAACACGTATCACTGCAACCAGTTATGTTTTCATTCCATCTTTCCATATCAGTAACTGTCCTATTTAGGAATAAGTATTAAATTTTCCTGCACTACTTCCTATCATATATTTCTTGGGAAATGCTACCACTATTACTGTAGTAAAGTTCTCAAATAGTATATCAAGATGATATCGACAGTATTGACAGCATATCGACAGTATCGACAGTATTGATATTCATATAATGCTCTTGGGACAATATCGAAAGTATTGACAACTTATCAAGATGATATCGATATAATGGACTATTGCTACATTAATAGTGCTAGTTGAGAATTTTGCTACGGTAATAGTGGTGTTTGAGAGCATTTTTCTTTCACACCGTGACCATTCAGTCTTGGTTTCCTTTACTTTTCATTACCATCAGAAGAAGAATCTTGCAAAACAATGAAATTCTCATGAAAATTTTGGTAGATGGGTTTGAGCCTATCCTTACAGCTATGAGGTGTGAACTTTATCTAATGTAAGATTTCTGCCTTCACAAAAATGAAGGCAAACTTTAAGGATGGGATTCTAAATTAGCTTAGAAAATGGTTGGAACACACTCTATGATAAGGTGCACAGAAGAAAGGAAAAACCTCCCTTCTTTGAAGATGCCACAGGCTCATATTTTGTTGACGAACTGTACGAAACTCTGAAAAGATTGAACCATGGCTATTGGTTTACAAAGTACCTGCTTTCAACAAACTTCAATGCCCACTAAAACTTTCAATTCAAGCTTTACTAAGTTAAACCATAAGATAAGGTTGACATCCAGTTCAGTCCTGCCTCTTTATATGATCCTTCTGTTTTGTCAATAAACTTAGAGAGCTAAATTAGGTTGACATCCATTAATTGTAAATTGTTTGTAACTCATAGAACTATTACAGAATATAATGCATGAAACTGACTGCATTTTCTTGGGAAACTCTTTATGTGGTGTGTATATAATATAACTAGTTTTATAAATTTTGATTCCTGTTAGAGATGCCATTTCTGATCATGTCAAGCATGTTTAAATAAATCAATTAAACTAGTTTTAAAATTTTGAGCCCTCTAGACATTTCCAATCACTTTGAGCATCTTATTATAAATAAATTAAGAAGGATTTTGGCCTGAAAATTTGATTAAATTAATCAAGTCAATGGGTTAGATCTCAGATAACATATCGATTCAAAATTAAGTATGGTTCCTTGAAATTTTATACTCAGGTTTTGATTTTGTTCCTCATTTTTCTCTGAGTTTGGTCACCTTGGGGCCACAGGGTAGTTGAGGTGAAGAAAGAATAATGTAAAATGATCTGATGGATGGATGGAGCCTCCTACTTCTTTCTGGAATACAACCTTTATAGCTTGATGGAGCTTTACATATTTCAGAGTGGTTATTCTTGTTGATGCTTAATTGATTAGTGTTTCGAATGTCAACTTATTGACACACATTTGCAGGTCTATCCTTGTCCAAAAGGTTCAGTAAGACATAGAGAAATGGTTAAAAGATTTGGTGGCAAAGAGCAGTATGTAATTCCCTTTTCTTTGTAAACAACTTCAGTGTTCTGATAATTGAATGAAGTATAATTGGAAATAAGTTTGTAGTGAGGTCATCATTTATGCGAAAATTTGTAACTAATAAATGATACTTGAGATTGATAAATTATCACATGTCATTTCATAGTAGTGTTACATTTGATGGATAAGACTAGCTTTTGTTGTTGTGCCTCTTCATCTCCTTATTAAAATTTGGATTATGAATATTCTCATTGCAGGTTTCCTTTTCTCATTGATCCAAATACTGGTATTTCAATGTATGAAAGTGGTAAGTTATCAAACTTCATTTCACATGGATGCCTCTACTCTCTCTCTGTCTTTCTGTCTGTCTGTATCTCTCTTTCTTTCCCTATTGGAAGATTTGAATCTAAGATTAACCCACGTCCACTTATCTACTAATTTTGCTGAAAATAATATATTTCTCTTTTATTAGAATTTGATAATAAGGCCTTAATTTATAGTGCAAACGATTGAAAACATAATGATTAACAGTGTAATTCATCAATTGTTCAGTCACATCCACCAAAATATTTAGGTCTCTTTGGCTGCTGTTCTGGGATGAACTACGACTTTTTATGTGTGCCAAGAAAAGGAAAGAAGAAAATTGTAGTGGCAAATCAAACATTCAAAGCTGTTGTGTCTTCTATATGAGTATGGATAAATTTACTTGGACCCATATTAATTAAAAACTAAGGGCAAGATGTTACAGTGAAATGAGGTTGTCACTCATAGGTTTATGCTTTATAGCCCACTTGTTACCTGATTACTTCAAGCATTAGCCACCATAAATACCTTTAAACTTGTCTAAACTTGCCAATTACAACTGCATCTGCCTGTGTCTGTGTCCAAAGGGTGCACACAGTGTTTTCAAAACTATGTATTTTGTTGTTGAGATGTATAGTTGTATTCTCCTTATCCTTCTTCCATCCAAGTTTATCCTTCACAAAATAAAGAAAACATTATTCAATTTATTGTGACACTGTATAGACCACCTTGTTTATTTTGCCAGCTAATTGGATCATTTAGTGTTTTCCAAAACTTAGTGATACTCTGTCCTTCATAATGAGTTTCTACATTGTGGTTGTTAAGTCTAATCATCTGAATGGTCTTTGTGATGGCCAAATAGAACATCTTCAAACTGCTTTCCCCCTTGAATGCCAAAGTTTTTTCAATCATTGGGTTATATCAGGAAAGTCATCATGCTTTGTAATTCTTGGTTTCTAGAGAAGCTTTTTACTTCCCTATTATCATTTTTTTCACTGAGCTAATTTTCTTTTCTCTTTTGTGACATGGCATAGAATCAATAATTATTCTCATGACTGGGAAATATCAGCAAGTGCTCTTATGTCTAAATAAAATGTAACTAAATGTTGTAATTGAGAGCTTTTTCTGCACCTCATTTTAAGTTTTAACTAAGTCTGTATAGAGTAGTACGTTATACTTGTAAAATATTTCTGATACATGTTTTATCTCGATTGTTGGAAATGATTTTATCAAAGTTGTCTTATTTGCATTCTTTCTGCCTTTGATGATAGGTGAAATTGTGAAATACCTATTTGAACAATACGGTAAAGGTAGAAAACCTACAGTGGGGCTTTTGGAAAGGTATTGATCCTCAAGTTCTTCTCATAGGACAAGAATGTTAAGTTTTCTGTACGAGTATAAATCACAAGTAAAACTATATTTTCTGTCCAATATCACATAAATTATTAGCTTTAATGAAGAATCAGTTTGCTGATATGTTGCTTTGAATCTAGAATGACCCCATTTGATAATTATTGTAAATAAATCAGCCTAAGTAAAAACAACTTAAGAAGTTAACATGGGTCTTAACTCTAATATGCATCAAGCCCGTAGGAAACAGATGACAGAAATTATTTTTTAAATGGGTGACTTGAAATATCAAGTGTGTATTGATTGCAAGTGGTTTAACCTGGCTATTCTCTTCTCTTCTCTGTCTCTCTTGCTCATATTAAATGTTGCTCCCTGTAGCACATTATTCACAGGATGGATGCCAACAATTTTTCGAGCAGGCAGAGGAATGACATTGTGGGAAAAGGCGAAGCGAGACCCACCACCCAAAAAACTGGAACTTTACTCATATGAAAATAATCCAGTGAGATAACGGTCTTTCATTGAGTGTTTTCCATTGTATCATGATTTATGCATCACCAAATGTTTTCATATTTGTTGGATATATAACAGATTGAGAATTGTAGTTTGTTTCCAATCAGTCTATGTTTGCCTACAAGGAGAACACGGATATAGGCTCTCATAATTTGGGCTTGGATCCTCCTTTTTCCTCCATATGCTTTACTGGTTTCTTTGAAATTATTTTTAGTTTGCAGACATTAAGTGTAGGACATCGATGGATGTATTTAGAATTAGGAATTCAATTAGATTTGTGTAGTGGACGCTTGGGCACACATTCAAAAAGTAGAGCAGGGTGCCAAATGGATGGATCTGTAAAGAAATCCGGAATTCAATTAGATTTGTCTATTGATGTGGACTCATGGACATGTATTTAGAAAGTAGTAGTCTGGAAGATGTGTGGTGAAATTTTAAGTTCATGGAAGAATCAATGAGGTTTCCATGAAGCTATGTCCTTTTGGGATTTGCAACAAATCGGTTTGAGAGAAAGAAGCTACGTAAATTTTGCGAAGATAGTCCTGAAGGTAATATCCCATTTAGTCTATCTTATAGAAAATGGTACCCTCAACCTTCCTGAGGGTCAAGAAGACAGGGATTGAAACTATCGAAACATGGTTCCAGCAGTTCTTGAGGCATTCAGCGTAGATAATTCTGTAGGTCTAGGGAAGCAACTCCGCTGTTTAATTGTCAGTCTTTTTGTTATAATTCTTTCCTCACCAATGGGCTTACATGTATGTACTCTTAAGTGTGCTGGAGTTGGAGGATTCGGTCAAAGTCTTCATTTGGATGCCTGAAAGGAACCCTATTTCAAGGAATTCCATGATTGTAGCTTTTTCTCATCATGGGGATGGCACTAGAGCATTACAATTGTGTGAAGAGATGGGAAGGGGAGGATGTACAAGGGTATCCAGGTAGATATGTTGTTGATTAGGAATCAATTGTTGAGTGTAGATTATTTGTATGAATTTGGTTTCTCTCATGGTGAAATTGGGTACTCTCCCTTGAAGTACAAATGATTTTGTTGAATTACACATATATTTGTGTAGCTTTTGCCGTTTCTTGTTACAATCTAGGGTTACTGTTTTATTGTTGTCCTTTCATCATTATTTCCTTGACTAAGGGGTTTGTACGCAATAGCATGAAAGACATGTTCCAGACCAAGGATAGAATAATGGCCATTTCATTCTGTTTTACTGTGCTCAAACAGCCGGAACTTGAGGGAGAGGGGAAAAAATGACAGATGGGAAATGACAGGATCCGGGTCCTTCAGTCTGCTTTAATTTGAGACCTGTCCTTCATTTGGACAAATTAGGGCATGTGATTGATCAAAGATCTATATAATTGTAGTTGTCGGTACAAAAATTTCTCAGTGTGACATTGTACATTTGCAGATGAGGTCAAATCCCAGGATCATCTAACAATCATTTTCTGTATTCTATGCTGCTAGTACTTTGTACATAATTTTTACAGTGACTTATGGCATTTTGCGTAATTTCTAATTTCTTTCTCTTCCTCTCCATCCTTTTTCTTTTTCTTTCTTTCAAGTATGCACGAATTGTGCGTGAGGCACTTTGTGAGTTGGAGCTTCCTTACATCCTTCAAAACGTGGGAGAAGGTTCCCTGCGATCGAAGTCACTAGATGCATCTGGATCCAAAGAGGTTAGTTTTTTAGAACAACGATCCCTTAGATGATGTTCTGCTGCAATAGAGTTTGACTGGAACTTATATCACATGATCATGATATGATGTGGCAACGACTTATTGTCCGCGCAATCTGGTTTTACTATGTTTCCAATGGTCTTGAGCTTTTACTGCGGTAGTTATGTCATGAATGAGATTTTCATAGCTCTGTTGCGCTTTTCGCTCAATTATGCAGTAATTCTCTTAACAGCTTGTAAATGCTTTTGGTTTTAATTTTGGTATATGTGGTAGGCCCTACTTAAGAGAACAAACAATCCAGGTAAAAAATTAATTATTAAACGTTTTCAATATCCGTCCAAGTCTCTTGTAAGTTCAGACTATTTTTCTTTCTGTGCATGGTGATCTCCTGTTGAAAGCCCCAAGGATGAAACTAAGAAAATTGTCTTCTTATAGGTTCCTTACCTAATTGATCCCAACACTGGTACTCAAGTTGGTGACTACAAGAAGATCCTGTCTTACTTGTTCCAGACATATTCAGCAGCCATTGTATAGTTTCAAAATCAGTTGTAAGTGGTTTAACATGTGAAAATCAAAATGGACTTGATTTTTACTCTTATGTACATTCTGTGACCAAATTTTAGTGGCAATAGGAAGTGGTTAATTGCCCTTGGGCTTTGTGTTCCACACATATTTGTATACTTGCACCAATTTTGAAGATATGGCAATATCTGCTTTGAATTGTCTATGTTTCCTTTTGCTGATCATGAATTGTTGACGACCAAGCAAACAAGCATGGTTTTAGCAGCTTTTCTTCTGCCTTTGGTCATATAATCTGAATAATTATGGTACCTTGGGAAAACAATAGTTGACTATGACAACATCACTTGTGGTGGAAAAACTTCTAAGAATACATTTCAATTAAGCTTTGTTTTTCTTAGTAATTATATAATTATTTTATATATAAAAAAAGCTTTGTTTTGTGTTATTATGTGACTTAATATATTGTCAAGACTCATGACAACAAAATCTCCTATCTTTGATTTCCAGGACTACTTTGATAACAATTAAACTGGCCGCAAATTGTCTCTAGTGTTTCTGTTTAATTGAATCTGTTAGTTAGCAACAAATTATGTATCCGGCATGCGTGCTATTTCTTGAAGATTAGGGACGATTTTGATTCACTTGGACCGACCTGATGCATTTAAATCGGCACATTCATGCTTTCTATGGTGTGTCATGCTAGGTTTTAACCCAGCATAGCCACTACAACCAAATTCGTGCTCATGCCATGCTCGTATAATGTAGGTTGCCTTATACAGACCATTTCTTTGCCATAACCTTTGCACAAAAATGTACAGAAAGAGGAAAAAAGAATATAGAAAATTGTTATAAAATAATTAAAAGGAAAAAAGTACACCTTTTAACTAGGGATACCATTAGAAAGTAGCAAGTGGCAACTTCTCAAGTTTGTCTTTTTTTATTTTAATTTTTTTTTTCATTTTACGTCTCACCAACTATGCGTATCTGCACAATGTTTGGGTGTAACGGATTTAGCACAACATAGTAATATTATTTTCAGGATGTTAATGATCTCTGTCAATCCCAATGTAACCTCATATCTCATTAAACTTCGTCCTGAATCTCCTGTCTTTTTGTCCTGTAAGTTTTAGTTCCATCCATCGCATTTGTGCCGGGTAAATTGGTAACTGAACGAAAACAAGTAAAAAAAATACAGGAAAAATCCGTTCAATCCAAAACCAAATTTTTTGATTTTTTTCTCAGCTCGGTTTGGTTCAGTTGGGAATTACCAAATTTTATATATCCAAATTTATTACTCGCTGTAGTACAGCCTGCAAAACAGAGAGCTACACTGCAGAGAGAACTACAACTCTTTGAATCGCTTGGGAATTACCAAATTGGGATAACATGAAATGTTCTTACACTGATTTGAACGCGACCCTTGTCGTTTCACTATTCCACTTGTTCATCAATCTAATCTAATTGTAAAACACACACACACACACACACTCTCTCTCTCTCTCCCTCCCTCCCTCCCTTCAAAGTTACAATGTAGAAATTAAGTAACAAATTCACATGCAGGCAGCAGCAGCTTCGGCAGCAACATGGTAACATCTACCCTCAACAAATTTCTGTCTGAATTGCTCAAAATTACCGGACTTATTGCCTCCCTTACTGAGCGGAAGAATCCTATATAATGGTGAGTATTATGTCTGCAAAATTAAAGGACGATCTGGTGATGATGATGACAACTAGGATGAATGATGATAACAAAGGTGATATGAGCATAATAATATTTATTGGAAGCAATGTAGCACATACATTTCTAGTAGAGTCTGAGCCAGCATTTCATGAACATTGAGCAGGTGATTGATGTAAGCTTTTGTATGATTCTTGCACGTATAGCAGTTACAATTTTCAACAATTGGTGATATATCTTTCCTGAAAAACAAAACAAAGGAAAATTTATCAGGTTAAGAATAACTGCATCAATTATTTTTGGATCCATTTGACAATAAATGATTTAAAAAATATGGTAAGACTTCAAGAAGTTTATTCACAAAACACAGCACCCTTCATGACAATGCAATGCAGAAAATGCTAAGCCCAAATAAGCCTACAAGTTGCCGTTTCCCAGTTCTTTACTTTTATATAATCAACGACTTCTGTTTTGTTTTCTTTAATGTTACTTTACTACTTTTTTATTTATTACAGACTAATAGTTTCTTCAAAATCACTTACAAATGTCATGTGCCTAATTGCCTTATGTCATATTTCTCATGTCAAGTGGTATCACATCCGTGGTTGGATGTGGAAGAGGTAAATTGAATTTTTGAGAAAATTGGCGTGAACCCTTCTGTCGAAGTGAGAGATGGTGTTTGAGAAAGAAGATTTAGAGGAAGAAGAAAACCCCTTGTGTGATTCCTGACCAGTTAATCAGGGGGTGTACAAGGTGGCTTGGAGAAGCAGCTAGTGTATACACCTGAATGATGGAGGATTTAAAGTAGAAGTTACTAGTATTATATAGGACAATGTTCTACAAATCAGGACTGCAAATTTAAGCAAGAATTAACCAGATCAATTATCCAACTTCACAATCTGCCAAGAGAGCATTTCACTATATACACACACATCTAGAACGGATAACTAATATTAGGTGTTGGGTAAACAAGTTCGTAAAGTCAAACTTGGTAATCTACTAGCTAAAATTGAACCTAATAGATGAAATCTGAAACCAATAACTCGTAAACACTGTTAGTGCAGCAAGTAGACAGAGAAGTCATCAGTTACCTGTAAACTGTTGCTCTCAAATTAATCTTTGTCTGGTCACTTCCTATATTATCAGATGTATTCATCTCAACTCCATCTAGTGGGAACGTAAGTGCAAAGCCACCAAGGGTAAGATGGCATAGATACCTGCAAATACATATCATCACCTTTTGAATCATGGTAACAAGAAGGATAAAGATATTCAAAATTGTTAGAACACTGAGCTACTCACGTAGAATCAAAGACATCAATGCCTGCAGCAACCCCCTGCAAGATCTCCTCTGTAAGATAAAAGCATAAGTTCATTTGCTGATAAATTTGAATGAATAACCAACCAGGTATTTAAGCGAAGGTACATTTAAATGTTGCAAACATTTTCCTTTAACGCATTGCCCTAAGTTCCTAACAACTGCAAAACTGAAGTTACTAGCCAACTTTTTCCTTTTCAATGATAGGGACGAGAATTAAATTTTAACTTCCCAATCAAAGTGGACCAGCCATCCCCAAAAAGTACCACCCTCGAACTACAAGAAACAGAATATCAAGAACACAACAAGGAACAAAACAGCACCAATCCTAACAGAAAACAGAAAAGTAATCAAACAAACTACAAGCAAAAACCTGGAACCAGTTCCATAATTTAAGAAAAAGAAAGGGAATTTGCAAAGTGGGGAAGAAATTGATGGCCAAAGTAATGAACAGAATCTGGCTTTATTCCATCCTAAAAGCAATCTTCAGACTCCTAAAATTTTCCACAATAAATTAATTAGGCTGTTTATTTCTATCCAAATCACCAACACACCGCAACCCCGCAAGATCTTTGCCTTCTTCCCACCACCAAATCCACTTATTAGCCAACTTGATACACACCACTCCTCAGTTGATAGTTAAGATGACAGATTAAATGTCATACAGTATGTTAACACTGTACCCTCATTTCATATGTGCGGCAAGTGATACAGATAACATAGTATATTCTTAATTGAAACCATGAGAATTCCCTCAGAAGTCTAGATGTCTCAAACAGGGATTGGTAAGACCAACAACTCATTGTAACAATGGTACACCTCTTACCTGGAAGTCCAAGTCCAGTGATCAAGCGTGGTTTCTCCTCTTGTAAGATATCCTGAACATTTTATATGACTATTAGATATCAAAATAAAAAAGGAAAACATAAACTGTTTTATGTTTTCTTTTTTGACATATGAAAAATAAGAATGCTGCATGTAAAACAAGAAACGCAAGTCACTGATCAAGTTCAGGGGAAAACTGAAGGTTCCACCAGCTTGTGACTTACAGTAACAGCATTAAGGAGAGCAGGGCGCTCATCCATGCTCTCTCCAAGCCCAAAACCTCCGATCCAGTAACCTGGGAAAAAGATGTTTTCATATCAATTGTATACCAGTATAGTTAAATATACATCAAGCTACTAGAACTATAAATACACAAGAAATCCAAATGAATTCTGGTTTCTTATGTATCTCAGTGATTTAAATGCTCAGGAAATTATTGGAAACCCCCTACTAAAGCCCAATTCCTTTAGGCCTCATTTTGTTTGCGGAAAAGATTTGATGGGAAATAATTCCCATGTCTTTCCCAAGGGATGGGAAATGGAAGATTCCTTCCCCATGTTTGGTAATGCAGGGAAAGTAACCAGGAAATGCCACTTTATTTCCTTTCCCATGTTTGGTTTGGTAGGAATGTAAAACAAAGTTTGTGTAATTTTCCAATTATACCCATCTAAAATCAAATAAAAAAAGAATGCATTTAATGCTATATTGTAATTCGATATTGTTAATGGGAACAAAATGGTCATAAAAAATGTGCATTTAATGTTGGCCTATTTTCCCAAAGTTCCCCATGGGAAGGGAAAATGAAAACCAAGGGGGGAGGGGGGTTACATTTTCCCCCCTATTTTCCCATGTGCCAGGCAACCATTTCCCATGCCTGGACTTACCATTTTCTTTTGGTGGTCCAGATGTTTTTGTTAGGTTTTCAGTCTTTTTTAATTGATCTTAAAGTTATTCTTAGTCTATGTAATTTTGGACAAGGATTCCTTATCCACAATTTGTACAGAGTTTCCTTGATTTAATAATATTTCGCTTCTCTTGAAAAAAGAAATTCAAATGAGTTCTTAGAAATGTTACAAAATACGAGTCCAAAAAACAAAAGGAAGAAATTAAGAATTGCAGAAACCTGATAAATTTCTGCGGGCCGCTTCTTGCGCACATCGTTCACGTTCTTTTACAGAACACCCTCCAACAATGGATCCAAAGACAGGTCCACCTGCCTACATTTTGGAGGATCAATATATTTCCATAATTTATAATTGAGTAAGCCATTTATGGCATCAAGTCAATCATATTGAAACTCAAAGAAATGCTGATTACCACTTTTCACAATTATAAATAATCAAATTGAAAATCAATCTCCAATGAAAACTTGGTAGAAGCTAAGGTACACAAATTTGCTATCACACTGGAATATTAAGGACGTTTGTATAAATCAAGTAACTTTTCCACCCAAGGAGCTTGGTATCTGTTTTCAGAGGCTTAACTTAAGTGGCAAAAATACTCATCCCTAGAGGCCTTTTTCTATATTTCCATCAATATCTGTGGTTTGCTTGACTTCCTGGACTTATGAGTAAGCGCAACTCTCCAAAGAGTTTTTGAGGTTGTTAATTTCTATCTATTTTCAGTTAGAACATTCCCTTCACAGAACGCCAACTGCTAGGTTTGCTAGCAGCACACCTTGTATGTATCCCATATGCAAGTGAAGTGAGTGCATATGCATGTAGATATGATACTGGTTACATCTCTAAAAGTTAGGTCTTTTACCAGATTTAGCGCAATGCATTCATCAAGCCATCTAATAGTTCGATCAACTGAGGTCTTGTTCCTCTTCTCTGATACCCACGTAGGAACTTCATCAGCCAAAGTAGTCCATATATTGGGTCTCAAGGAAGAAATCAACTCAACATACTCTACTGGTTTAATCTGCAAGCATATAAAAAGACTGCACAATCAGTCACCAGGGTCACCATAATTAACTCAAAAACAAACAGAAAAATTACCAAACGGCGACCGCAAGGAGTCTCAAAAGATGCTCCAAATTTGTTACTGCTATTACATTCTGGAAGGCATTGAATAGAGTCCCTTGGTATGCAGACGAACCCGTGTTCCGGCAAACCAAGCATCTGATGCAAGCCTCCTATCTTTGATATTGTTTGTGGTGAGAGGCCTTCCAAGCTGCAGAAGCAAAAAAATTGAAAAAAGTTGGAATCTTTTTTCTCACAAACCAATTCACAAACAGCTAGAATGCAATTCTAGAGTGGAAAAAGTAGAAAGAAGATAAGGGCTGAGGCTATGAATGCTTACAAGTGGAGGGAGCTAACATGGAAGAGATGGGAATCAGGGGAAGGAAGAGAGTAAAGAAGGTCAGGGGGGATGAAATGAGGCAGGCCCTTTCGAGTAGAGAGGAGAAGAGAAGGGGTCTCTATTGGGCCCGGGCAGCTGCCCAGCTGGAGCACCCCTGCCCGCGCTTTTCCGCTGCTCCATGCCTTCACTGCGAACTTCATTGCTCCTGCTCTGTTTCTTTGTTGTTGACTGGAGACAAAAAGCTTAGCTTTGTGGAGAGTTCACAGTCGGAGACCACGAGAAGGAGCAGTAGGGTTTTGCGGTTTTTTTCCTTCTTTTGGCGGCAAAGAAGGTTCTAAAGTGAAGGCCAAAAGTCTTTTGGACCCAATTGTTTTCTCGTCAGACCCTTTTTCTTTTTTTTCTTTTTTCAATTTCAGTTTTCATATATGCCCTTGAAATTTCAAAACAAAAGATAAATTTGTTAAGGAATGATGTGGCATGTGGAGAGGAGAAGTGTAGCAGTTCCTAGCAAAGAAAATCTAAGCATAAAATTTGGATAAATGGGGAAAAAGAGAAGTATAGGTAAAAATATGTGGTGTCATGTTCGTCGCCTTTGCATGGTTTTTAAATAAGAATCCGCGTCCTACTAAATTTAAAATTATTTGAAGGCCAAAAATCTAGGTGATATATGTGTAAATTTTACAATATGTATGCATAATATATGTTTCTCTAGCTGAATTTAACCCGATATGTAGATGACACATTTGTTTTTTTATTGATTTCATATGGCTTGTGAAATTCATGTCCTATAGTTATTATATTATTATATGTTGTATTAAATAATATGGTGTTATAAAATTTTATTAGAAAAAGAAAAGTTTCGACACACATGTCAAACTGTGATTTGTTTGAAAAAATAATGGATTCTTTTTTTAGTACAAGCAATTAAAGAAGGAGAGTTTACACAAATATTCATTAAACGTCTAGAGTATCAAATCTCTAACCCACATATATGAAGATGAAAAAACTCAATTAATTGAGCTATACCGATTCGCATATAAGCATACAAGGAGCCTAATATGTTCCTTCTTTTTATTCACTTTTAAGGAGCCCACATGATTAAATAACTCTTTTATTTACTCTAATCTATAAAGATAAACGTGATTATGTACACAATAAAAACAGCCACACACACAATGAAAAACAATAAAACACAGCCTCACACACTAGTGAAAAACAAAAGGTGTTTAAGAGAAAATAGAACGTCAACACGTCTGCCTCTTTTGATGAGGCAGATGTCAGATTGGACCCTAACGTGCAATCTAATTCAACAACTATGGAGTTTTGTCGGTAACAAAAAGAAAAAGGGAAGAAAAAAAAAAACTATGGAGTCTTCTCAAAGTCTCTTGTAACAATGTAGAGACCGAGTTCCAGTTTTGTGCTAAACACCTGTCTAAAACTCAATCCGAAACATCAATAAAATGAAATCAAAGGCTGTTTATAACTACTCCATGTTCAAAAAGCTTCAAAAGACATTATATAATCAAAGGCAATATCATGTTCTTATCATTCTTATCAACAACTCCTCTGAATACATCACATCTTCCATCAACTAGAAGAAAGAAGTCAAGAGATATATCCAACAAACAATACCAACCATGTTATTATTTCTACCAACCGAAAAAAATAGGCTAGGTCTAAATCAAGCCTCCAACAACCTATCTTGCTTCACTTCTAAGATGAAGATTTTAGAAACCACAATATAGAATAATCATTGCCTCTCTCTCTCTCTCTCTCTCTCTCTCTCTCTCTCTCTCTCTTAATTCCTTTTAAAAAGACAATAATATACAACCCTGGGTGGGTCCCATGAAATTATATCCATGATTAAGAAAGCTATTTATGTATTTTATAGTAGATGTGAGGGTAAAAAAGCTTCTCCCCTTGGAATTATTTTGAGCATTATTTTCTGCTAATGCATTTTTTATGGTGCATGATACCTTACCATGGATCTACTACTATTCCAGCTTTACTCATATAAAAAATATCTAATTCTCAGGTACCAGCTTTCCACTATTTCCCTCTGCCTCCTTATGAAAAGCAGGAAACAAACAATGCCCTCTCTCCTCCCTCTCTTCATCCATTCTCCCCTTCAATAAAACCTCCAAGACCTCAATTCTCTCTCTGTCTCTCTCTCTCATCATCAATCAAGAACCATGAGGTCCAAAACTCAATGTGGCATCAATCTCAACCTGATCCTCCTCTGCTGCTTCTTCATCTTCCTCTTCACCATCTTCATAATCAGATCAAACTTCTCATCTCCCCTCCAAACCCCATCCACATCCACATCCATCAACATCTCCCAAGCCCATCTCTCAACCTCAACCCCTCACTCCAAATCCCCACAATCCTCAACACCATGCCCTTCCCTTGAACAACCCTTCATCCCAACATGCACTAAAACCCCACCTTCCCTAGCCAATGCCATCATTCACTATGCAACAACAAACATCACCCCACAACAAACCATCAAAGAAATATCAGTCTCATCCAGAATCCTACAAAAGAAATCACCCTGCAATTTCCTAGTCTTTGGCCTTGGACTTGACAGCTTGATGTGGACAGCTCTCAACCATGGAGGAAGAACAGTTTTCTTGGAAGAAGATAAGTCATGGATTGAGCAAATCCAACAAAAGCTACCCAACTTAGAGGCCTACCATGTTTCCTATGACACCAAGGTTCACCAAGCAGACAAGCTCATGGAGATTGGGATGAAGGAAGAGTGCAAAGTTGTTGGGGATCCAAGATTTTCAAAGTGTGAATTGGCCCTCAAGAACTGGCCAAGTGAGGTGTATGATATAGAGTGGGATTTGATCATGGTGGATGCACCCACAGGGTACTTTGATGGAGCTCCAGGCAGAATGAGTGCCATATACACAGCTGGGTTGTTGGGGAGGAACAGAGAGGAAGGGGAGACTGATGTGTTTGTGCATGATGTGGATAGAAATGTAGAGGATAAATTCTCAAAGGCTTTCCTTTGTGAAGGATACTTGAGAGAACAAGAGGGTAGAATTAGGCACTTCACCATTCCAAGTCATAGGGCTCGCTTAGGCAGACCCTTTTGCCCATAGATTATGAAGATGATCTTCATTCTTGATCTTCTTCTCTCTCCGATCTCTAGCAGATAAGTGTTTATGGGGTTGTAAACTTTTTTTTATTTTTTACATTTGATTGAATATATATTAAATAATTTCTTTTCTTCCTTGTTCAAAAGTTGGTCATCTTCTTGGTGCCACGTACTAGACATGCGTTCATTGCGGTAAGACTAGACGGATGTAATGAAGACAAAAATCATTTAGTAAGCCGAAAGCAAATTAAGGGTACTACTTTTTAAAAAAATAATAATAAGAAGCAAAATCATAAAGAGGATCATCGACAATCCCATTACCATATCACATTTTAATTCAAATTTTAACTTAAAAGGGACCGAAGATGGAAAATTACAAAATAAGATACTTTTTTATATATACTATTCTACTTCAATCGAATCTTACACACATGGAATCAATTCGAGGTAAAAGTGGAGAGTATATTTGCTCTAACTGAGTAGATTAAGTTGTTGACTTCGATCCAGAATGGAGAGCACATTTGCTTTAGCTAACTTAGCTAAATTGTCGACTTGAGTCCAGAGTAAGGAGGATATTCGCTCCAGCAGACTTGGCTAAGCTGACAAAATCAAATACCTAATCAGCTAAAGAGTTGGTAGTGGATCTATATCAATCATTTTACTTCAATATCCAAAACCATAGTTTTTACAAGCTTCTTTCTCATAAGCTCAATTTGTTTTGTGAAGCTTCTTCCTAGTTGACTATTAGAGATCTCTGTCTCTGGCATGCTATTAGACCCTAGTGGTGTACCTTCACTTCTGAAGGCCGTGTTCTTGTTCTCTTGCATAATAAAAAGTAATTAATAATTGGTGAATATTAAATAGACAAAATATTATATAGAGTTTGTTTTTTTTTTTTTTTTTTTTTTTTTTTTTTTTTATGTAAAGTTTGGGTGATGCATATATACATTAGGTGTCAACTTAATTAACTAAAAAAAGAGTTAGGATGTAAAATAAACTTTGATTATCACCAACTTTAACACGCCAATTAAAGGTCCGGTCGAACAACAGATTCTACAAATAATCTTTAGAAAACCTGACGGCAAACTTCAAGTCGGAGGTTATGACACATTTCCTTTGGTTTGGTAAGTGTCAACTCATGAACCATGTATGTTAGTTGACCAACCACAATGATTGATAAACGCTTGATTATTTGACTTATTGTTTATAAATTATTTCCCTAAGGTTTGGTAAATGTTTTCAAGCTTATTAATTATTTAATATATTTTACATTTTATGACATTTTGTACGAAAATGGTGACGAGCGTATTCGAGTTTATATATATACTCCACATCAGAGAGACTTGTTGGAGATTATAGGATAGTACCGTAATATGGTTACATGGTATAACTTGTCCACGTGTTATAGTAGAAGTGGATATTTATTGATACTATTTCCTAAAAGGAAAGTATACTCATAAAATATTTTTGTCAACCTTGTCGTACACTCATATTATAATGTGTATGCAAACTACTCGTAGTTAAGATGCTTCCAAAGTTGATATGAATAGTTACATGTAGAAAAACATGAGTAAAAGATCCAGGAGAAAGATTGCAAAATGGAAAAAGATTAGAAATAGGAAGAAAATGAGAGTCGTTACCAAGTATGAAGTCTAAGTTGTAAAAACAACCAAGAAAAAACAAATTAATCTTTGGGGATAATTTTATTTTCCAAAGGCGAGCTAAATAAGAATGTAGAGAGGAACTACTACGAGTAATTTGAAGACGTTTGGCTGAATTAATAGAAAATTTACCAGAAGGAGAAGGACCCCAAACAAGTTGATATTCTGTGGGATAAATTGGAATACGTATAGCACCAATAGTTTGTAAGATATCATGGGGGAACAACACTAATTGATCAATATTTGAAGTACTCGAAATAATATAATAGAAATTATTTCATCAACATTAGAAATAATATAATTACAAATTGTTGCATCATAGTAACCTTGCACCAACCCCATCCCACGTCTAGATTAACCAAACAAGAAACTTCACAAATTTATCGTGGGATCTCCCATATTTAGGTCTCTCATTTTGCAAATGATGTCTACTGCGTACAAAGGACAACCTCATCAAGATGCAAGCCTGTCTTTTGTACAACCTCAATATGCACCACACGTGCGTTGTTACATCATTTGCGGAGAAACAGCTTCAGCTGAACCTGTTGGCAAATGTGAAAACATTTTTGCCCACCACTCTCTTCAAATTTTGGTGATCGTTGGATGAGTGTGATTTAATCTCGCTGCTACATGAACCCCAAAAATTCAACTCATCAACAATCATTAACATGGTGGTAATGCTCACCGCCAATTACGGGTGGTGAGCAAAAATGCTCTCGTAAAATACAGCCAACCCCTCCTTTTTTGCTCTCTTTTCCCTTTTTTCTTCTGAAAAGAAACAGAATTTTATGAAAGAGAATGGCAGATAGAACAACTCTGGACAAGGAGTCCAGTTTCAAATGACATCAACATAATAAAACTTTCTAATCTGCCTAAATTACAGAAAACAAAAAATAAAAAAATCAGACCTCCAAAGTCAAGCCAGAATGCATCAAAATCCAGCAACAATGCTGACAAGGGAGACTTCCTCAACTCTACAGTGACTGAAGCTGAAGTGCATGCCAATAACTAACTTGATCCATAAGTTCATTGATACTCACCCATGAATAATCCCAAAAGTCATATTTTTCTCCATGTGATTAAAAAATATACCACCCCTGCGACCCCAAAAGAATTTTGCCTGCCTTGCTTTTTTCCCTAGACCTTCATCTGCATACTTTGTGACTCGTAAAACCCTTTGTAATCACCCAACCTGCACGACATTCCTCAAACAAATTTCACCACATCTGCACGCTGAAGGACAAGGGAGATGACTCCAAGATTTGCCACGACGGATCAAGTCCCAACTAATTTCTTTATCTGAATCTCGGCACACCGCGCAGCTTCACTATGACCAATGAATCCATGCTACATGGAGAAAAAAATGCAACTGCATAAGAGAGGGAAGGGAATTATAACAAATAATATATTAAAAAAGAAACAGTATGGACAAAAAACTCTTAGCATACTGATAAATTAAGTCATTATTGTCAAAGGAAATAACTGCACGATTAATGCTAGCAGATTGACAGCCGATTATACAGATTTACAGATTTAAATGCCAGCAGATTCTTTTCTTAATTATGATATACTAGCTGTAGGCTATAATTAGATAAATGTATATATGATAGGTTAGCTGATTTTAGGGGCTGAAGATCAGCCTGTGTTCTTTTCTAATTAACTTGTATTCTGTCCATATAATGGGTAATTCTCGATGAATAGACATACACTTTTTCAGAAAGACTCTAAATTGTCATGGTATCAGAGTTGTAGCTCTAAATTATCTCTTGCTCTCAAGTTCCTTAGTCTCAGTTATTCCCTTAGTCTCAGTTATTCTTGATCAAGTTCTCTTGACCTCATGTCTTTGGATAAGTTTGATGTTTCTTTGATTCGTTTCAATGGCAAGAACTACTCTGCTTGGGCATTTCACTTCAGGATTTTCGTCAAAGGTAAGGAGGCGTGGGGACATGTTGATGGAAGTAACCTAACTCCTGACAAAAACAAAGACAACGACCAGCATGCCAAGTGGGAAGTCAAGGACGCTCAAGTTATAGCATGGATTTTAGGATCTATCGAACCCAATATCATCCTGAACCTTCGATCATCTCAGCCTGCAGCTCAGATGTGGACTTACCTAAAGAAGATTTATAGTCAACGAAACATTACTCGTCGGTTCCAGCTTGAACATGAATTGGCCGCTCTCCAACATGATAGCTTTTCTATCTCTGATTTTTACTCTAGATTCACTAATCTTTGAGCTGAATACACTGATATAGTTTATGCTGACTTACCATCCGAAGGTCTTAGTTCTGTTCAATCTGTCCATGAAACTACCCAGAGGGATCAATTTCTAATGAAACTGAGACTTGAATTTGAAGACACTAGATCCAATCTTATGAACCGGGAATCTGTCTCCTCCTTGGATACATGCCTCAATGATCTCCTTCGCGAGGAACATCGCCTTCTCACTCAAACCACCATGGAACAACAGCAATATGCATCTGTTCCTGTGGCCTATGCAGCACAAGGTAAGCCACGAGGCAGGGATATGAGCATTGTTCAATGTTTTTGTTGCAAGGGATTTGGTCATTATGCTGCAAATTGTCCCCGAAAATTCGGCAACTACTGCAAAAAGGATGGCCATATCATCAAGGAATGTCCTACTCGACCCCCCCAAGAAATCAGAGACCGCATATACTGTCTCCGTTGGCTCTTCTAGTGCTGGTAGTTCTGTGAATACAGTACCCCTGACACAAAGTGCTCCTGCTCCTGTTCAACCTGTGACCCCTGACATGATTCAACAAATGATCATTTCTGCATTTTCAGCTTTAGGACTCTCAGGTAAACCCTTCTCTACATCATCTCCTTGGTACTTTGATTTTGAGGCTTCCCATCATATGACAAACAATGCTAAGTCTCTTACCAATATAAACAAATATTTTGGAAATCTCAAAATTCATACCGCTGATGGCAATCATTTACCTATCACAGCCACTGGTGATATTTCTCCCTTTCTCACTGATGGCTTTGTATCTCCTGGTCTTACCACCAATCTTGTGTCTGTCGGTCAGTTGGTTGATAATGATTGCAAAGTGGAATTCTCTAAATCTGGTTGTGTTGTGCAGGATCAACAGTCAAGGAGGATGATCGCGAGAGGGCTTAAAGTGGGACGTCTTTTTCCTCTTCAAATTCCTTTGTCTTCTTTTTTACCATTTGTCTCTTGTAATTCTGCTCATGTTGATTACCGAGCGTGGCATAAACGTCTCGGACATCCAAACTCTAATGTACTTCATGATTTACTGAAATTTGGTTTTCTTGGGAATAAAGAATCACCATCTCTTAGTGCTATTCAATTTGATTGCAATTCTTGCAGACTTGGCAAAAGTAAGACTCTGCCATTTCCTATTCACACACCACATGTAGTCCAACCTTTTGATCTGATACATAGTGATGTGTGGGGTATGGCACCAGTCACTTCTCATGCTAATTACAAATATTTTGTCACTTTTATTGACGACTATAGCCGTTTCACATGGATATATTTTCTACATTCTAAAGATGAAGTCTTTTCTGTTTTAAAGATTTTTCATGCATATATTCAGACCCAATTTTTGGCCCGTATCAAAATCCTTCGTTCTGACAATGGGGGTGAGTATATGTCTCATTTGTTTTAGGACTTCCTACAGACTCATGACATCATCTCTCAACGGTCTTGCCCTTCAACACCTCAACAAAATGGGATGGCTGAAAGGAAGAACCGTCACCTTCTTGACGTTGTTCGCATTCTCCTGTTAGAGTCATCTATGCCCTCTCGTTTTTTATGTGAAGCTCTCTCCACTGCTGTCCATCTCATCAACAGGTTGCCTTCTCCCACATTGAACCACAATTCTCCTTTCACCAGGTTATTTGGTCACCCTCCATCTTATTCCAACCTTCGTACCTTTGGTTGTGTCTGTTATGTTCATCTTCCTGCACATGAACACACAAAACTCACGGCTCAATCAATTCCGTGTGCTTTCCTAGGATATTCAGTACACCAGAAAGGTTTTCTTTACTATGATCCAAATTTGCTACACATTCGAGTTTCTAGAAACAAGATCTTTCTAGAAAATCAGTATTTTTTTCCCACGCACCAGGATCTAGTTTCTCCTTCATTTTCTGTTTTGCCTATGTTTACTAACTCTTCTGCAGCTCATGTTTTAAATACCTCTTCTGCAGCTCCAGTCCCTTCTAAGCCTCTCTTAGTGTATCAACGACGCTCTTCTGCCACTTCCCACCAGCCTCCGCACCTCCCCAGCCCCCTCCAGCTCCTTCCCCGACTGCTGCTCCTGTTCTAGCAACTGCACCTCCCCCTCTCAGACAAAGTACTTGGGTTCGTAGACCACCGGATAGGTTTGGTTCCTCTCCTTTTTCATCCTTCACAGCCACCTTTTCTTCTATTTCTCTTTCTTCGTCTTATACACAGGCTATGAAGCATCAGTGTTGGCGGAAAGCTGTTGAAACCGAGCTTCTCGCACTTGAGGAAAACCAAACCTGGGACGTTGTTCCATGTCCCTCCTCCGTGAAACCCCGTGGCAATAAGTTCGTGTTTCCTGTCAAGCTTCGTTCTGATGGGTCCATAGACCGTTATAAGGCTGGGTTAGTGGCACTTGGCAACAAACAAGAATATGGTCTCGACTATGATGAGACCTTCGCACCAGTCGCCAAAATGACCACTGTCCGCACCATACTCACCCTTGCTGCATCCCAATCTTGGCCCTTACATCAAATGGATGTCAAGAACACATTCCTCCATGGTGATCTCAAGGAAGAAGTTTACTTGAAACTTCCCTCTAGTATGCCTACTTCCTCACCTAACGATGTTTGCAAACTGAAATGTTCTTTGTATGGTCTGAAGCAAGCCCCGCGAGTATGGTTTGAAAAGTTTTGCTCCACTTTACTTGGTTTTTCTTTCACTCAAAGTCAGTATGACTCCTCTTTTTTTATACAACGGACATCCATAGGTATCGTTGTCCTCCTTGTTTATGTGGATGATATCGTCATCACCGACTTTGACTTGGAGGCAATCTCTGCAGTTCAGACTTTGTTGCATTCTACAGTCCACATGAAAGATCTTGGTTAGCTCACTTATTTCTTGGGTTTAGAGGTCCATCATCAACCTTGCATCAGCACAAGTACAGTCAAGATCTGGTTCAGTTAGCCGGCCTCACCAACACTACTTCAGTTGACACCCCTATGGAACTTAATGTGAAATATCGACGTGACGACGGGGAGCTTCTTGAGGATCCTACTACCTATCGGAAGCTGGTTGGTAGTCTTATCTATCTAACCATCACCCGACCAGACATCTCTTATGCTGTTCACACTGTCAGCAAGTTCATGCACACCCCGAGGCATCACCATCTCTCTGCCGTCCGCTGCATCATTCACTACATTCTTGGCACACCTAGTCGTGGCTTATTCTTCCTTACAAGTTATTCCCTTCAGCTCCAAGCCTATAGTGACACTGATTGGGCCGGTTGCCCAGACACTAGGAGATCTACTACTGGCTGGTATATGTTTCTTGGTGATGCCCTTATCTCTTGGAAATGCAAGAAGCAAGACCATGTCTCCAAATCATCCACTGAGGCAGAGTATCGAGTCATGTTTGCTGCGTGCTCCGAGATCATTTGGCTACGTGGTCTCCTCACAGAGCTTGGGTTCAATCCAATTCATCCTACTCCACTGCATGCTGACAACACAAGTGCCATCCAAATTGCAGCCAACCCCGTCTATCATGAACGTACCAAGCACATCGAGGTTGACTGTCACTCAATCCGAGAAACCTATGATCATCAGGTTATCACCCTTCCACATGTCTCCACTACTCTGCAAATCGCCGATATCTTCAGCAAATCCATGCCACGTCAGCGCCATCATTTCCTCGTTGGCAAATTGATGCTTGTCGATTCACCAGCATCAATTTGAGGGGGGATGTCAAAGGAAATAACTACACGATTAATGCCAGTAGATTGACAGCCGATTATACAGATTTATATATTTAAATGCCAGCAGATTCTTTCCTTAATTAGGATTTACTAGCTGTAGGCTATAATTAGATAAATGTATATATGGTAGGTTAGCTGATTTTAGGGGTTGAAGATCAGCGTGTGTTCTTTCCTAATTAAATTGTATTCTGTCCATATAATGGGTAATTCTCGATGAATAGACATACACTTTTTCAGAAAGACTCTAAATTGTCAATTATACCAGGTAGGCATAATACTTCTTCACATGGAATGATTTCAAACCACACCAAAGCTTCAATTCTAGCTGAATTTGTTAAGAGGAGTAACAACTGGTGGAAAAATAAAAAACAATGATGAATTATTGCTGAGCATTTGTGGCTTTTATTCTTACTGTAATGGGCATATGCAATATGCAAGCAACAAGCTCCACTTCAGAAAGGCACTTAGTGAATTTGACAAAATCTGGGTTTAGTCACCAGATAATGATGACTAAAGAATCATCTCAGAAAATGACTTTATGCCATTCCACACTAAACCTGGGTTTACAAAATTCTTATAACACAATAAGAGAGAGAGATATATATATATATATATATATATTTATTTATTTCTCTTTGGCTGATAATATATAAAATGGGGCAAATCCTTTATACCATATTTTTTTCATAAAGGGGTTTGGCCAAATAGAAGAAAGACTAGCTAATTTCCATTTGGACTGTCCTTCAAATTGATCCACAAGCAGCAAATTTACATAGAAACAAATTTATGAGAGAAAATGGAAGAAACCCTGGAAAAGTGACGAAACAAAATGTTCTTCAACAGCGTTTACATAGAAACAAATTTAAGAAAATGCTTTAGTTTGTTCTGAGAGCTTTTATGCTCAACATCATGCAAACAATAAGGAACAGGCACAGCTGACTTGGGCATCACCCAACCACCGACTAAAAGGACAAAAGATCATAGATCCCTAGCAACAGGACATCCCAGTAATAGATGATCCACCACCTCACCACTTCCTCTACGCATACAACACTACCCCAAAATAATGATATTTGTCTTGGAAAAATTCTCAATTTGAAATTACCATTTATAACTTATATTTTCAGCACTAAATTAAACAATAATTTTTCAGAATAGAATGCCTTGGAATATTATTAGTTATGACTTATGAGTGCACAAAATGGCATCTCCACTGTCCAAGGGAATTTTAAATAAACATGATCAATGGCACTACATTAACAGCTATATAACCCTCTGCAATTACATCAATAAAGACCCTTTCAGAATTGAAAATACAGCATCAATAACAAGTTGCTCCTTACATCTTAGCTCGGGATGCATAGGCTATTAGGAATTTCCGTTGGCCTTCCTTTGTACTTGAATAAGTTTTTCTAGTGTCGAAAAGCAAAGGAATGCTTGACTGTTGAAAACGTATGCATTGTCAAAGGGCTTTTCCTATGTCAAAAGAGAAGTTTAATGGTAGGATAAATTTCCATTAAAGATCCTTGATGGAAAGCATGCCAGTCACGTGGTGGACATGTAAGCAGAGGCCAGAAATGACGTCATTTTTCATGAATATGAGGCCACATTTTCTTACTTCCGAAAAAACATACCTCCATCCATGTTCTACCTCTTGGATTGCCTGGCATTTGACATGCATCCCGTCAACTATCTTTAATGGACAAAAAAAATTTACGCAGAGAGCATTTTTCAAATTATAAATGCAAGAACCATTTAGCAAACAACATATGTGAAATGCTTCTTTACCCAAGATTACGTAATGCAAATGCAGCACCTCCTGATCATGTGATGAGGACATCTTTGTCAACCCCATTAGGGTTTACAAATGAAGAGATGGAAGAGGGAATTATTAATTAGTTTCCTAGGTTCTTTAAGTTTTCCAGATTTCATTAGGATTTCTAGTTTTTTCCAGATTTCAGTAGGATTTCTTTCCTAGAATAAGTTTAATTTTCCTTTTCACTCTAGGGTCAGATTATTATAAATACCCCTTCTACGTAATTCATTATGGAGGAGCCAAGATAACAAAATCACAATCAATTAGAGGATGAAAACAAAGGTGCCAAAACATGATATTAAACGCATGAGTTTTGGTCTCTTATCATGCCAATGTACGTGTAACTACAGAAGATGGAACATATATAAAACCAAAAAAGTACAACCAAGTGCCAGAAACAGCCAAAACAAATAAAAGATACATAAATTTAAATAATCAGTATCGTACGTCCAAAGGCCTGAATTGCCTTCAAATGCAGATGCACTCTTACTGTTATTCATGTTGTTTAATATGATGAAGGCAAGAATAACAATTCAAGATATATTATATATATTCAAGCTCCGATAATCAAATCAGATCCTTTTGAATACATACTTTTAAAAGTGGTAGTTCTGCTCAGAACTTCCTCATTCTAGTTTCTCAGCTACTAATCCTGCATATCCATAAAAATAAAAAATAAAAAATTCATACATAACTAATGTTAGATAAAAGGATGCTTTGATACTGCAATTACTCTATCCTTCCAAAATACAAAAGTAAATAATAAACGAATAATGCAAATGGACATATATAGATTCCTTCATATAGTAACGAAGGAGGCAAAGCTGGAAAACACTACAAACATAATATTCAGAGAAACAAAATCCTAAGTGACAAAAGAATGTACCATTCTACATAACCAACCAAACCACAACAAATTTCAATCTTAACTTTATATTTCAAAACCAATTCATCCTGAATCCGGAAATAGGCCATTCCATGAGAAAAGAATAAATGGGGTACATTCCAAAATTGTAAAAAATGAAAGACAATACAATACTTACATAATATAGCACTGGCTGCAGATTTCTCACTACATTGGAAGCTCTTGGGATGAAGAACATCAAGCAGCTTATAATTTAAGTTCTGGGTAAGATTTATTGAGTTTCATCAATAGCTCATTGCAGGAGATGCTTGCTCCTTTCGATGTTTCTTGAGAAAAAGTTGGGAGAATTTTCATCACATCATAATCGTCTGAGATTTGACAGAGGCATGACAAGATGGTAGAAGTTATTTCTGAGTCAAGAATAACACCCTTGTCTGCCATCTGATGAAGCAAACTAATGATTTCTTCTGATTCACCCTTTGAACTATAGCCCTTTAGTAAAGAATCAAATACAAAGGCATCAGGTTCAAGACCACAAGCAATCATTTTCTCAAGAACTATTTTAGCCTCATCCAAAAGCCCAAGTTTTGAAAATCGGTTTACTAATGTGGAAAAGGTAATTGTATCAGGAGTTAAACCCATTTTAAACATGTCCTCTAGCAAGTCTTTAGCAGATTTAATATCTCCCGCTTTGAGAGTTCCATCAATAATTGTATTAAATGAGACCAGATTCGGAACACAATTTGTACTCCTCATCTCTTCGAATAACATCCTAGCTTGCCCCAAACTACCCTCCTTACACAAGTACAGCATCAAAACATTGTGGTCAATCAAAGTAGGATTAACCCCAGAAGCTCTCATTTTGCTAAAAAGTCCTTTTGCAAACTTAAGCATATGAGTTTTGCAAAATCCATTGATCATGAGACTATAAGTAATTGAGTTCGGAACAAATCCCAAGTCAAGTGCATGTCTCCAGAACTTTATGGCCTTGCCCACTAATCCTTCCTGTAGACATCCACCTATCATAGCATTATAAGTAAATATGTTACAAGCAATGCCCCTTTCAACCATTGTATTACAAATCTCCATAACCGTATCAAGATCGCCTTCCTTGCAGAGTCCAAAAATTAGCATGTTATAAGTTATAACATCCGGCTCAACAAAGTTCCCGTCTTTTGACATCGTACTGTAAAGTTTCATGGCCTCATCAACCTTCCCATCAGTAGAAAGTCCCATCAGTAACGTGTTGTATGTAATTACATCAGGCTTTTTCCCCTTACCCTTCATCATTTCCAAAATCTTAAAAGCATCATTGACCAACCCTTCCTTGCATAGTCCATCAATCATAACATTGTATGTTACAGTGTTAGGCTCTTCACCATTCAATAACATTAAATTGAATAGCTCCATGGCTTTTGTAGCCCTTCCATTTTTGAAAAGCCCATCAAGTAAGCCTGTATAAGTAACAGTATCAGGGCGAACTCCGCACTTGGTCATATCATTTAACATCGCAATGGCTTCTTTCCAGTTCCCCATCCTGGAGAGGTTATGTATGAAACAACTATATGTAACCACATTAGGAGGAATACCCTTCTTTAGCATCTCATTGAAAATTTCTTTGCCTCTATCAAAACTCCCTTTATCACAAAAACCACTTATAAGGGTACTGTACACAACAACATCCGGTTCCAAACCTTTTTGCTTCATTTCCTCCAACAAACCCATTGCCTCATCCACTCTGCCATCCTTGCAAAATCCATCGATCAAAGTGCTGTATGTCTTCACATTTGGGTCAGAATCTGCCATCTCCATATCAACCAACAATTCTGTGGCTTCTTTCAATTTTTTTGCCTTGCAGAGCCCGTGTATAAGAATGTTGTAACTAACAATATCCGGGGTTACACAATTTCTTCCCATTACACTAAACAGCTCCATTGCCTTCTCAACCTCATCATTAGAACACAAACCCTTTAACATAAGATTCACAACATACACATTTAACTGAAATCCACGCTTCAATACCAATCCCAAGACCCCAGGTGCGAATTTGGCATGATTGGTATTAACAAAACATGCAACTAAACAACTCAATGATATAAAACTCGGAAAAATACCAACATGGGTCATCTTACTATAAACCGAAAACGCCAATTCATAATTTTTCGACCTTGTGAGAGTGTGCACAAGCAAATTGCAGGCTCCCCCAGAAGGCAAGCGGTCAGAATCGATGGAACCCCGAAAAAGCGAAACGGCCTCTGAAATCTGAGGATTCGACTTATCACAAAGAAACCTCAGTTGGGTTTCGATATCAGAGCAAGAATAAGTAGATGGGATTGAAGAGAAGAGCTTCAAGTAAACAAAGAAAGCATAGGAGGGAGAGTTACAGTAAGGGTGACGTTTGAGAAGTTGCTTTATGATCATTTTGGCTATGTAATTGGGATTTTAATTCTTTACTAGAAAGTCAGAGAAGTGAGAAACAGAGAGTGGTACCTTAACCGATGCTGCAGCTGCTGCTACTAGTGTTTGACACCAAAAACTGTCGATTGAGTCAAGCAAGCATGTCGAGGGAGAGAGTGAAACAAATGACGGCAAGCATTGCGTCTTCAGTTTGCTTCTCTCTGTGCTTTACCACAAACAGTATCAGTACGCTCTGTCTAATGGGCCATGGGCTATGGGTTCGTTCTTTATTGACCCCGTTAGCATTTGGGTTATGAGTATATATGTATTCATCTATGTATATAGAGTAAAAGGCAGAGAATAGTGAAATATTCATTATACCAAAAAATATCCTTAGTTAATTCAAACATTAAGAATTGAAATTATTAATTAAATGAAGATAATACGATAAATTCACACTTTTTTCATATTAAAAAAAATTACAATTAAAAACAAAATCATATTATATGTCTTACTTTATGGAACATAACTACTCATGTTATCTTTTCTTAATTATAAAAATAAAATAAAAATAAATAAGAAAACCAATTGGCACATGCATGAGCATGACTAGTAAAAAATAAATAAATAAAATTTCTCCCATAAACTTCCTTAATTTTCCCAATGATTTCTCATATATGGTACTTATATGGATAGTTGGGTTTCAAAGAGAGTAAAGAGAGATTCGAGAGAGAAAACAAGCTGGCTTTGAAGAAAGTTATGAATATCATATGAGAAAACTTGACCTTGATTTAGTTCGAATAGTTTTGAACTATCTACAGGGCTTGTTCATCATCTAGGTGTACAGTATTTTGCTTTTTCTTTAGTAAATGGTTTTTTTTATTTTGTTTTATTTAAAGTTTTTTTTTTTTTTTTTTTTTTTTTTTTTTTTTTTGTAGGAGTTAACAAAGTTAGTTAGAGGTTAAGTGCAGAGACATGCATAAAGAGTTTAGATAGGTAACAGAATGGGGATAGAGGAAATGAAAACAAGAAAATTGAACTTATATTAGAAAGATAGTACACAATGTAACATACAAATATGATATTAATAGCATTTTTTATAGGAAAAACAAAAGGACCGCAACACAGAAGGCCTAGGAAAGATTGGTCGTTATCATCTCCGAAATGAATAAAGTAGATGGTCTCACTCACTGCCATCCTTGTGAACATTTGCAACCATTTTACTAACATTAACAAAATTGAAATGACGAAAAACTAGAGTAAAAACATAGTCAAATTACAAGAACCAAAAATATAATTTCGCTTTTCTTCAAAATGATGCTAAAAAATGCTTAAGAATATTCGAGAAAGGGGCGAGGTGGGCTTATTGTAAATGTAAAAACTCGTTATTCGGCGTCGAGACAAGGTATTCCTCGTGGTAGAACAGAGCACTTCTCCACCCCCGTCCAAACACGGACCCTATCTAAAATAAACGCTCCCTCTTTCATTAACGAAGTCATCATCTTAGGGCTCTCCGCCAAGGCAAATACTGAGTGTGGATTGAGAAAACATGTCGAAGACAAAGAAGCAGTTGATGTCTTCAGCTCCATGGAGGGTTGAAGAAGAGGCTGAAGATGAATTCCAAGACGCGAAGCTTAAAGTGACAAGCCAGCCAGGGTCCACTCCAACCATGCACGTTCCTAAAAAGAAAACGAAGCGCTCCAAAGACCAAGATTATGAAGACTCTCTCACTGAGATCGACCCTGAGCTCCGCTATAGCTTCCAGCGTAACTTTCAGGTCTTTTTAAGCTTACCCAGTTGGGCAATTTCCTTAATACTTGCTGTTATGCTCTCAGACTATTTGTTAATTTGGTTGTTTTTATTAACTTGTGGTTCGAGTTAGAGACACACAATGTGTTTGTTTGAATGTCCAACTGGCAATTTCTTGGTTACATGCCCAGAACTTCTTAATTTTAATGTTTTGTGTAATTATGCATTTTTCAATATTGCAGAGGTTTGCTAATGTAATGGTTTTTTGCATTAGGATATGATTATGAAAATTTTGGGTCTTGTACTTTTCTGGGTTGTGCGTCATTCTTGTGTGCTGCTTCACGTGTTCCATAAATTTGGTTCTCACTAGCGAGAAAGCTGGTCTTGGGTTTATTTTAGACATCTGTCTGTACTTAATTCAGGAGATTTTGGAACTACATTACTTGCAAATTTTCAAATGAAACTTGTCTTTTTAAGTTTGAACTAGTCTGCCCTTATGTTTCAAAACTCTGTGGGTGGTAAGGATGTAGAACTGAGGCTTGACTGCCAAAACCATATTTCAGTAAAGCCCTTCTGCTAGTGTTTTCAGAAGTGTTTGTGTTCTTGAATTGCACTTAGTGAAGGAGCACAAGCCTTAACTAACCTGGAAGCGAGTCATGGCAGTACCATGCAAGTAGGATGGTAAAAATTAGATTTTTTTCTCAACCAACTAGCTGTTAGTCTTTGGTATTTCTCTCCACTAGTAGAAGAGGTCCCCAGTTCGGCTCCCCTTTCTCCCAATTCAGAAGATATTGGACTTTGTGTGTCTGACCTTATTTACTTTTGATTTTCTATGTGCATAATTTCCATCGTTCCATCGCATTTTGCTGTATAACATTTGCATCTGAATTTGTTATTTGATAAGTTTACGTGTGACAACTTGGTTTGCAGTTCCTTCAACGGGTTTTTAGCATCGACACTGTTGTGAAACCTCTTCCACCTGTCATGGCGTACAATGTCTCCCGCAACTTGAACTTCTTCACTCGTATTTTCACACAATTTTTTGGTACGTATATGTGCTTACACTTTGTAGATGCCAATATGTTATAACATTAAAATTAATCAGAAAATAATAGATAAAAAAAGACTGGGACCCCTGTGCCCTCAACCAGCGGTTGCTGTGTATGAAGTGGCAATACTATAGCTATCTTTATATGCTAGTAGAAGCATAATATCTATAGCTTTAAACTGTTTATATCTTTTTAAATTAAAGTGAGAGAGATCAATTATTTCTCTCAATGTGGTTCATTATTATGTGGGAAGGGAAACTTTCATGCTCATGATCGGCCAACAAAACTTCTGAACATAATTCTGAGTAAAACTTTTCCTGGACGTGCATGCACTTGATCCCTAGTTGAGCCAGATAATTGAAAACTTGGGCATATGATAAAACCTTTGACATTGAAATCTGATTAACTTAGTTCTTGTATTGCAGATCCTGAAGGTATTGCAAGTGCGCAGAAATCACTTGGGTTAGGCCAGGAAGAAAAAGTTCGTAAAGTTCGTTGATCCATAGCAAGGAATTTAGAGTGCAGTAATAAACATTTTGTAATTCTAGTTTTGACTGTGTTTGGTGTTGAATGTTCTGTCCTTGATAGTATATTGTCTCTTAATGACAAGAAATTTAATTTCACAATTTAAATGAAAACACAGCTTGGTAGTGAAAGCTATTTGTTTTTCACACAAAAAATAAAAGAAATCCATTTGCCATATTAGGATAATAGTTTGAATTTCCACTGATGAATTGCATTTCGAACAACGAAGCTGACTTGTATATGCTTTGGCGCGAGTTCTCTGCGAAATTGGTTTAATTTTGCAGCTCCTTCCTATTGCGTCAAACTAGAAAGTAAGCCGTACCGGAAATTAATGCCGTGAAATGAATATCTGTCCTTGAAATGATGATTTTTAAAGGTACTGTCTTTCAAATAATTTGTGGAAAAGTTATAAACCCTAAGTTATTATGCTTTCTAGTGGACCTAAATTGACGCTTTAACCCCTCAAATAGATGGAAAATTTGACAGAAGTAATGATAGAGTCCAAGAACTACATAGTTTAGTGACTGAATTCAAGGACGAAAATGCAAATCGATTTATAATTCATAGACCATTGATGCAATTAACCCTATAGCCATCATATTATTCCACTTTGTATCTGTTTTTCTACATGTGGATATCAATAAAGTTATGGCCTTTCTGGTCACGAGATAGTGGTCTTGAACAGATCATCACCGCTGGTTGAGTGTTAAAGGCACACATGACCCGCAACCAAAAGTTCTTCCTCCCTTACTTGTACCAGAAACTTCCTCACTCTCACAACCATATATTGCATGAATCGCATAATAGCCAAAGCAAAAGGTCCCCAACAAAATGTCTATAAAACTACACCAATTATAATCAGTCTCAGAAAAACTTAAAGGTTCCAATCAAACATGAGGAAATTTTGTGACTTGGGTTTGTTGTTAATTGTTGTTCTTTGGCTAGGGTTCAATGGCAGGGCTTGGTCACAGCCACAACAGGCACAAGTTCCTGGTTTCTTCATATTTGGTGACTCATTGGTAGACAATGGAAACAATAATGGCATTGTCACTCTTGCTAGGGCCAACTATAGGCCTTATGGCGTTGACTTCCCTCAGGGTGTCACTGGCCGCTTCACTAATGGAAGAACCTATGTTGATGTTCTAGGTAACTCAGTGATATGATACGATGATCTCTTTCTTCTTCTTATCTTTTTTTTCTTTTGGGAAAACAAAAAACCCTATTTTTGTGATGTATATCATTAATGATTAGAATGATAATATGTGCTTTATTCATATGAGCTTAAGTAAAGTTCCAAGCTGGTGTGTGCTTATTTTTTGCGGGATTTGCAGCTCAGCTTCTGGGGTTTCGAACTTATATTCCGCCTTATTCAATAACTCGCGGAGCTGCACTTCTGAGGGGAGTGAATTATGCATCAGGCGCAGCTGGAATTCGCGATGAAACGGGAGATAATCTGGTAAGAAATCGTGGGATCATGATGCTAATGGTTGCGTTAAGCCATTGAGAACATTGTGACATTTTAAACTACATAAGATGCTAACATTTTATACTAGCCTTCCGAGTCCATTATTTCTTTTTACATAAACAAGCACTCAAACTCAAATTTTTGAATGAGGGACAGAGGAAAATATGAAGTATCATGAATTTTCTTCTGCAGGGTGCTCACGCATCCATGAACCAACAAGTTTCAAACTTTGGCAATACAGTGGCAGAAATGAGGAGGTTCTTCAGAGGAGATGCCAATGCACTCAGCACCTATCTTGGAAGATGCATCTTCTATTCTGGGATGGGAAGTAATGACTATCTTAACAACTATTTTATGCCAAACTTCTATACATCTAGTTCTGATTACACTACGAAAGCTTACGCTGCCGCACTCCTTCAGGACTATTCACGCCAGCTGAGCGTAAGTCCAGGAATGGCAATTCAACCTACACTCCTAGCTTTTCCCACATAATTTTCCTTCATTTAGATCTTGGAAACACATGAAGAAAACAGCATTTAGTTACTGTTCTAAGTTTTGAAAACCTTCATTTTTTTTCTTCCAGCAATTATATGCATTGGGAGCTCGGAAGGTGATTGTGACTGGGGTTGGCCAAATCGGTTGCATACCTTATCAACTAGCAAGGTATCATAGCAATAGCAGCCGCTGCAATGAAAACATCAACAATGCCATCCTTATTTTCAACTCAGGACTTAAAAAGATGGTTGACAATTTCAATCGTGGTCAATTGCCTGGAGCCAAGTTTGTCTACATAGATTCTTATCAAAGCACCTTTGATCTGTTTCAAAATGCATCTGCTGCTGGTAACATGCTCTATGTCCAAATGCAAGTTTTATGTTGATCTGTGATTTCATACCTAAACCCTGCTTTAATTTTGAAAATGCTGCAGGTTTTGAAGTGATAGATAAAGGATGTTGTGGTGTAGGAAGGAACAATGGGCAGATAACTTGTCTGCCTCTTCAACAAGCTTGTAGAGATCGCACAAAGTACTTGTTTTGGGATGCCTTTCATCCAACAGAAGCAGCAAACATTCTGCTAGGCAAGGCATCATACAGTTCCAATACAAAGTCATATACTTATCCAATTAATATACAACAATTGGCTATGCTGTAAGGGGCTTGGAACTTCACGCAAGGGCCTATATGATTTCTAATTTTATCTAAATTGTTAATTACTGTGATGCTTTGCAGCTGATTGCTAATTAATCTGAATAAAAGGTTTGTTCTGTTTTAGTACTTTACTGCTTGCACTTTTAATGTTTGAATTCATCATTGGTGGAAATACATATATGGAATACTTCTAAAGTTAGAATTTCATTGCAGACATGAGCTTAGCCAAGTTGGCTAGAGCGGATGTGCTCCCCACTCTGCACTTGACTTGGAATCCCCCTCCCCATAGTTTATATTAATTAATATGTACAATATTTTTATAAATAAATTAAAAAAAAAAAAAAAAAAAAAAAAAAAAAAAAAAAAGAGTAGTTTCATGGAATTTACTTTTGCAACTTTTCCCATTGCCAATTTGAATCGTAAAATTTTCTAGCATGAAAAGTGAAGTATAAATACTTCAATAAGTCTATCAGGAAATGTAGTCTACCAACTCTCCAAGCAAGGGGAAACAAAAAGAAAAAAACAAAACATATAATAAATACAAAAGGGCAATTTACTAGTCCTACAGTTCCAAAACAACAACCAAGTTCATGTCAAGTGTACTAGGTTAAAGGATGTAATCCACTTAATGTGAGCAATTCGAGAGGTCGAGATTGTGCTCTCACGGGCAAAAATAAATTGTGGTGCAGGAGCTTGGTGGAGAGATTCCGCTCGAGTTGCTCACGTTTTTCATTTCCATATATTTCCATCGCTGTCTGTCCTGTCACCGCATGTGAATCAGGAGGAGGAGAACAAATAAAAGTTTAGGGTCTCAGCTACTTTTCTCTTCTTTTCTCCTTTCTCTCCTCTCGTAAGTTTCTCCTTTTGAAGCCACAATAATATGGATGGACTGCAGTCTGCAGCAGAGTACTTTATGCTTCAACCACAGCTTCCTTCAAAATTGTATGGCACTGTCCACGACTCATCCCCATCATGATTCATGGATTAACTTTTTTGTGGAATGAGCTATGCTTGAGTACAATAATTAACTCAATTCATCCTAATGGTGGATAACAGGAAAATTTCCAATGCATATAAGAAAACATGCAACAGGTAACAGAAGATAAAATGTAAAAGGAAATAAGTGAACTTTGATATTAATGAGCTTACTAATGAGAAGTTCAAAAATACTTTAACTTATGACATATCTCTTGATACAATTTGAACTTCTTACAGACTTTATGAAACTTAAGCTTGACTTAAATTTTAAAAAGCTTACTGAGTTTGGCTTGTTTCGTTAGAATAAAGCTCGAACAAGCTAAATATGTTACAAACTTGAGCTGCATTAAGTGGATTTACATCCTTTAACCTAGTATGCTTGACATGAACTTGAAAATGACAAAACTCAAAGGCAAGAGTCTTTGATGTGCACGTATTACATTTTCCACACTCAAACGAAGTAGTAAAATGAAAATGGATAGAGCCAAATGGTAAAGTAGAACCATCAAAATGACTAGAAATATCTTAAGTTTTCTACGGGTTGCTTTTAATGTCGAGAGTGGCAAGCTGCTGTATGTTCATGGGATAAACCTTGCTAAGGTCCTCATTGAAAGCTTTCCTCTCCCAATTATGATGTTGTCTGCTGCTGTTGGGTGGAAAGCATCCCAGAATATGACATATATATAGTGAAAATTTGTTAAGCACAATAAGGTGAACAAGAAGATGCACCCTTGGTATTTTCCTTTTTTTAATTTATTCACCGAGTGCAAAGTGCAAATCCATAACTCATGTAATGCTATTAACAAAGTTAACCAAGTTTCTAGTGGATGAACCAGACTCACTCCAAGCAGCCAAAGCCATCTCTCCCATTTTCCTGCTCCTTTCTCTGAGCTCTCTCCCTTTTTCCGACTCCATCAACTCCCTAATGCTTCTCTCCAATTCATCCCTAAACACAAACCCATCTTCCTCTCTCTGCTCCACAGCAATCGCCATTTCCATGTCCTTCACCAAAATACTCCTATTCAAATGTTGCTCTGCATAGAGCGGCCATGCCACCATCGGCACGCTGGCGATCACCGCTTCAAGCACCGAGTTCCAGCCACAATGCGTCACGAACCCGCCCACTGATTCCTTCTTCAACACCACCACCTGCGGCACCCATGATTTCACCACCAAGCCCCTATCTTTGGTCCTCTCCAAGAACCCTTCTGGCAACAAACCCTCCAAATCAAAGTCATGTACTCCTTGGACCTGCTTGGTTTTCTCATCAAGGGGAGGCTTCTTCACCACCCACAAAAACCTTTGTCCACTCTTTTCCAACCCATCTGCTATCTCCTTCAATTGAGCCCCTGAGAATGATCCTATGCTTCCAAAACAGAGAAACACCACACTTCTACTTGGCTGCTGATCAAGCCATGACAAACAATCTTCTGCCTCTGCAGAATCCCCAGATTCTTTTTCTTCAGCAATCAACGGCCCGATGTAGTAGACAGGAGGAGTGGGAGCATCAGGAACACAAAGACCTCCAGCAATGGCTTTGAGGATTGCAGGAGGCTCGAGCTCTTCAAACGTGTTGGCTATGATCCCATTAGATTTGGGAAGGTGGGTGCAGAAGTAGACCATGTCCCAATACGCAGGGTCGTCTCGGTCAAGCATTGGCTCAGGCATGTGGGGGGCATTCAGGGTAGACTTCAACCCGGGAAACTCCAAAACAGTCTCGGTCAGATCCTTGAAGCTCTTGGTGGTTTGTTCCCCGATTTTTGGAAAGTACAGAAAAACCGCAAGAGCTGCAGCGCCAGAGGTGTAAAAGTAATAGGTGGGAATGCCGAGTTCCTTCGCCATTGGCAGCGCAGAGGAGCAGAAGATGTCGATGATAAAAGCGCGAATGGCTGAAGATTTAGAGATCTCTTGGAGGGCAAGGCGGACATGATGATCATTCCGGCGAATGAAATCAGACGCTATGGCCACGACGCTGATGGGAATTAATGTAATTTTATTTTCAACGCGAGGAAATTGGTGGAAGGAGATGGAAGGATAAGCTCGGGAGATGAGCTGGATGTAGGCGGGGATGCTTGGAGTGTCAAGCAAACTGCCACAAGTGTAGAGAATGGTAATGGAGAATTTTCCGGGGTAGCGATTGAGAATGAGCATGCCTAGCTCAACCATGGAGATTATGTGTCCCATTCCTGGAGCTGCGTAGAGGACTATTGTGTCTTCTTCCATGGCTTTGGTTGGTTTGTGTTTCTGGTTTTCGCTTCTCATTGCTCAAAGCCTTTGAGGGAGAAGACGTTTTGAAATACTCTTCGCTCAAAGTAGATGGAAATTCAAGTCTGAAAGTTAGGTGAAGCACGAGGCAAGGCACAGGTTGTATACCATCATTTATCATGATCAAAAGAAAAAGGGAAATGATTTTTTAATGGAATAACCAGGTTCTCACATGCATGGACAAGAGTCTTTGATGTGCATGTATTACATTTTCCACACTCAAACAAGTTGTCAAATCAAAATGGATAGATCCACATGGTAGAATAGAACCATGAAAATGACTAGAAAATATCATAAGTTTTCTATGGGCTGCTTTTAATGTTAAGAGTGGCAAGCTTCTGTATGTTCATGGGATAAACCTGGCTAAGGTCCCCATTGAAAGCTTTCCTCCCAATTATGATGTTGGCTGCTGCTGTTGGGTGGAAAGCATCCCAGAATATGTACTGGTCTCGATTCGGGCATGGTGTTTGGAGTGGAAGACATGTAATTTGGCCTCTGTTGCGCCCAATGCCACAACATCCACGATTTGCAACAGTGAATCCTAGAAATAAAATTGCAAACAGGTTGAGACATCGTCAACAAAGATAAAATCTAAAGTTCTATTTCAGTGAAGAATGACTTCAAGTTAAATAGTAGCCAGGCATGTACCATAAGATCTGGCATTGTTGACGATGTCTTCGAATATTCGAGCAATGTCAACGTAAATGAACTTTGCGCCTGGTAAGTTGGTGTTAAGTTTGTTGATCATTGTCTTCACATTTGCATTAAACGGTAGAACAAGGCGATTCACTTCCTCATTGCACCTTCCACTTGGACTCTGGGCCAAGATACTTGGAATGCAGCCCATTCTCCCTAATCCAGCAACAACAAACTTTCGAGCACCAAGATTATAGAGTCTCTGTAACATGTCACATAAAGTAGGATGTTAACTTAGGTAACCTCAGAGTCTATCACATGTGATCAAGTCATGGAAAATGCGCGAGTACATTGTTAAAATTAGAGCATCCAACCAAAAACCTATTGTACAAGTCGAGACTTGAAAGCCACTGGATCTTATATAACATATATTATGATGCAGTTGTGCTTCAATATATGATGTAACATTGTTTATGTTATATGATGTAAACATAGAGAGCCTACAGGTGAGGCCATGAATAGTTCTTACAGTGAGTTGCTGGGTGTATTGTTGAGTCAAAAGATCAGCAAATTGTGGGGCATTGTACTGAGTTCTTGTGGGATAGTTGGGCATAAGATAATTGTTTAGGTAGTCATTGCTGCCCATTCCAACAAAGAAGATGCAGTCTGCAATTGCCCGGGCCACGTCATCTGCCCCGAGATTGTCAGTAATCTGATCAAGGGTACTCTGGAAGTTACTTATTTGTTCACCAAAAGGTATTCTTCCCACCTGACACCAAAACAATTGTTACCAAACAGTGGAACATTGAAACACATGCTTGTGGCTGTAGGCTGTATAGTTCAGATATATTGGAACATGGCAAAAGATTGAACTTGTGTTATGTAAAGCACTAAGGCTTCTGCTAATCCATTTAAAATCAAATTCCTCAGTTAAAAATTTCAGGAAAAATAAAATAAAATAAATTTTGTGGATGAAGTGGTTAATTAATTACAAAGTTTCTGCCAGTGATATCAAGGATTCCAGCTGCTGCAGATGCATAATTGACTCCATGAAGCACTTGGTCTCCAGAAGCTTCAGAAAAAGGAGGAATCAAGGGAAGTCCTAGCAATTCAGCTGCATATTGAATATTATATTTATGTTAAAATAATATACATCAAAATCACTTGGAACACCCAAGAGAAACAAATTTCTTTTTTAAAAAATTATATTTTTTATAAATACAAAAACACCAATGTTGAAATATTGCCTTGATTTATATCCAAATTGGGAATGAAAAGGCCCCTTTTATATGTAAAAATGGTAGGACGGGTGGGTCCATGCCATAGCAGGGAGACAAATTCTATCCTTCTCATACAGAGCATACCAACATTACCAAAGGGTAACCCATAATATATCTACAAATCAAGGATGGCAGATCACTTAATTCGTGTTTAATTAAAGAGCCGATTTTAAAAAATAAAGAACCAATATTGTTTTACCAACCCAAGATGTTTCTTGCTCCCACACATAAAAAGATTAAAATATATATATAAACTTTGTGACTTAAATTCAATCATAATACACTGAAATACTGATCTCACAGCAAAACATATTACACTGAGAGCATCAACAAATATTAACATGTATGTTAATTACACTACAAAATCAAAGAAGAGGACCTAGTAGAGAGAGAGAGAGAGAGAGAGAGAGAGAGAGAGAGAGAGAGAGAGAGACCTATTTCATCAACCATGGTGTAACCATTGGAAAAACGACCGGTAGGGCCACCATTGAAATCAATGCCATAGGGGAAATAGTTAGCCTTGGCAAATGATGGGATGTTGTTGTTGTTGCCATTGTCAATCAAAGAGTCTCCAAACACAAACATGGCAGGCACCATTTCTGCTCTCCTCCCACCACCACCCACTTGACCTTGTGGTGCTGCTGCAGCCGCTGATGAAAAGTTCACATCTTGGCCCCAAACCACCCCACCCAGCACCATCAACCACAAAACCACCAAAGAAAAAACCCTAATTGGGGCCTTGGCCATGAATGAATGAATTTGTTTTGCTTGTTTTGAGATGATACAAATGTGGGAGGAAGTGAGAGAGGCACTTGTGTTGATAATGAATGAGGTTTTTGAGTATTGGCAAGAGCATGCAAGGGATGATTTAATAGGCGAGGCAAGGCGGTGGTTGTGAATGGAATAAATGTTTTCACCTGTTATCTTACGTGCAGGAATTGAATTTAAGAGTCCATTTTTGTTCAAGGATAAATAAGAGTTTACTTTCCCGGCATTGTTCTGCATGCAGCTTCAAATTCCCTTGCTATTTTATTTTATTGTTTTGGTCTTTGGTTACAAACGGGGCCCGAGGCCCAAGCAAAACCAATAGGCAGAAGAGACCAAAGTTCAAGGTAGTTTGCTTTTATCACATGTTAATAGTTATTACGATGCTTCTTTCAAAAAATAAATAAATTATATATATAGTTAGTAATTATGATGCTGCCGATGGGGTGTCCAATGAAAAAGGTCATCTACTTGCACATTAGAGACCTCAAGTTCAAATTTTCATGGCATCGTAGTTATGTGTGTGTAAGAAACCCCCTTACTTAGTTTAGACTATCACTTATAATAATATAAAATATATTAAAAAATAATTATTACAATAGTATCTCTAGTCTTTTGGTAAGAGCATTTGCAATGCATTCCCTAACCCACCTCGGACAAAAATTCAAATTAGTTTGCTTTTTTGTTTTGGGCCAAAGGGGAGGGGAACACATAGTTACAATAAGTTTTTGAACTCATAACCACTTGGGAACACACTAAAGATCTGAATCAATCCAACTAACGACCCATTAGTCAAATAATTTGCTTTTACCACATGTTAATTATTATGATGCTCTCTCTAATTTTTTATAGTTTTCAAGGCTGGCAGAATTAGGTTCAAACCACCACTCTTGGAACCCAATATGTAAAGACACCTAGACCTAGCTGCCATTTTAGAGTTTTAGGAACTTGAATGAAGTTATGGCAAAAAAGACTGGTTAGCAAATACACTTCATTTGCTATGACCTAGCTCACAGCAAAGTATTAAAAAGAGTTTCCAAATATAGTAGCATGCTTAATGTTGGTGGAGCCAACGTGCCCTTTTAATAATGTTCTTGTTTTGGACGTAAACCTTTCAATACAATCTAATACATTTCTATCGTTTGGCAACCAAAAAAAAAACAAAAAACAAAAACAACAAAAACAAAAAAAACAAAAAAACCACCAAAATAAGAGAGAAGAAAAAGGTAAAATCTACGAGCTAGTTCCAACAACTATGATAAATGAAGGCAATACATTTAAATTATAAAAGTTTAATTATTGAAGGAATTATAAAGCTTTGATTGATATTTGAACCTGGTTCTACTACTATAATATTCCTTTGCATAATTTGTTAAAGATAAAATAAATTCAAAGACTTTTTTTTCTCAACTTTGAGCTATTTCAATTTCAACATATTTTTTCTTACAATCTTTTTCTTTAATAAATAGAATGATAACCACTATATATGACACTCAGCTTTACCAAATAAAAGCATAGTGTTTACAGATTGAGAATACATAAATTTGATGTGTTACATTTTCCACACTCAAACAAATTAAGAATATATAAAGTAAAATCAAAACGAATGAAGCCAAATGGTAAAGTAGATAGGAAGCACCCAAATTTAATTGCCAGAAATATATGGAAGGTTCAATAATTTCTAATGGTTGCTATTTTTTTTTTCTTTAGAAAATAAGCGATAGTATATTATTAAAGAACAAGCAAAAGTACAAAGCAACTATGTGCCGAATATAGGCAAATTTTCTCCAGTGACCAAATAGTTGGGCAAATGGACAAAGACATTTACTTAAATGCTAAAAATAGAAATAAGGTAATCTGCACACTTGGAGTGCATCGCCACCAGCCGAGCAAATGGGCAATTTGAAGCACCTATAATGGTTTTTCCAGCGATGGGGGGTGAAACTGCACCTCCTTGCGCCTTTATAGGTCCGTCACTGATCCCAGAATATGACATATATATGAAAATTTGTTAAACACAATAAGGTGGACAAGAATATGCACCCTTGGTATTTTCCTTTATTTTTTTATTCAACAAGTGCAAAGTGCAAATCCATAACTTATGTAATGCTATTAACAAAACTAACCAAGTTTCTAGTGGATGAACCAGACTCACTCCAAGCAGCCAAAGACATCTGTCCAATTTTCCTGCTCATTTCTCTAAGCTCTTCCCCCTTTTCCTACTCCATCAACTTCTTAACGCCTCTCTCCAATTCATCCCCAAACACAAACCTATCTTCCTCTCTCTACTTCACAGCAATCGCCATTTCCATGTCCTTCACCAAAATACTCCTATTCAAATGCTGCTATGCATGAGCGACCATGCCACCATCGGCACGCCTACAATCACAGCTTCAAGCACCGAGTTCTGCCCACTGATACCTTCTTCAACACAGCCACTTGCGGCACCCGTGACTTCACCACCAAGCCCCTATCTTAGGTCATCTCCAAGAACCCTTATGGCAACAAACCCTCCAACTCAAAGTCATGTACTCCTTGGACCTGCTTGGTTTTCTCATCAAGGGGAGGCTTCTTCACTACCCACAAAAACCTCTATCCACTCTTCTCCACCCATCTGCTATCTCCTTCAATTGAGCCCCTGAGAATGCTCCTCTACTTCCAAAACAGAGAAACGCCACACTTCTACTTGGCTGCTGATCAAGCCATGATAAACAATCTTCTGCCTCTGTAGAATCCCCAACTTTTTCTTCAACAATCAACGGCCCGATGTAGTAGATAGGAGGAGTGGGAGCATCAGGAACACAAAGGCCTCCAGCAATGGCTTTGAGGACTGCAGGAGGCTCGAGCTCTTCAAACGTGTTGGCTATGATCCCATTAGATTTGGGAAGGTATGAGCAGAAGTATACCATGTCCCAATACGCAAGGTAGTCTCGATCAAGCATTGGCTCAGGCATGTGGGGGGCATTCAGGGGAGACTTCAACCCGGGAAACTCCAAAACAGTCTCGGTCAAATCATTGAAGCTCTTAGTGGTTTGTTCCCCGATTTTCAGAAAATACAGAAAAATCGCAAGAGCTGCTACTCCAGAGGTGTAAAAGTAGAAGGTGGGAATGTCGAGCTCCTTCGCCATTGGCAGAGCAAATGAGCAGAAGATGTCGATGATAAAAGTGCGAATGGCTGAAGATTTAGAAATTTCTTTGAGGGCAAGGTAGACATGAGGATCATTTCAGCGAATGAAATCGAACATTATGGCAGCGCCGCTGCGGCCAATTATTGTATTTTCATTTTGAACATGAAGGAATTGGCGGATAGAGATGGAAGAATATGGACTAGGGAGATTCGCTGGATGTAGGTGGGGATGCTTGAAATTGATTGTCACGTTGTAAGAGAGAAACTGCAAGTTGGTGTAATTTCTTCCTCCTATATTTCTTCACAAGATGAGCTGGCAGATATATTTACGCAGGCTTTAGGAGGCGATGCCTTCAATTACTTAAGTCGCAAGTTGGGACTTCACAATATTCAATCTTCAACTTGAGGGGGAGTGTTGGAAATCAAATCTTATAATTGAAGGATTATAAATATTGTAATTGTCTTTTCTATATTAGACCCCAAGAATTATGGGTCAAACCTGAATTGTAGCCTTAATTAGGAATTAGGCAATTAGGCTAGAATAGGAGATTGTAAACATAATATATAAAGGATAGTATTATGTACAACAAGATATCAATAACACAGCGTATTATTCCATCTCCTTTATTCTTTTCAAACATTTAACTCCTTATATGAATGAGTCATTTCTTCATAAGTTATGTCAAAATTTCACGTTTTTATTGAATTATATTTTCATATTAAGGGATTTGAACTCGAGTGCAGAGTGAAGAACAGATTTGCTTAATTCAACTTAACTAAGTTCATATATGCGTGAATTTATTTATTCTAAATGGTGAAAAAAAAAACATGAAATGGGACGACACATCATATTGCGTACACACAACTCTCACAATACCACTCATGAAAAATATTGATAATTGGTTGTGTAATTCAATAAGGGGACAACAAAACTACCTTAACTTTCAAAAGATCAGCAAATTGTGGGGCAGTGAACTGAGTTCTTTTGGGATAGTTTGGGCATAAGATAATTGTTTAGGTAGTCATTGTTGCCCATTCCAACAAAGAAGATGCAGTTTGCAATCGCCCGGGCCACGTCATCTGCCCCGAGATTGTCTGTAATCTGATCAAGGGTACTCTGGAAGTTGCTTATTTGTTCACCAAAAGGTATTCTTCCCACCTGACACCAAACAATTGTTACCAAACAGTGGAATATTGAAACACATGCTTGTGGTTGTAGGCTCTATAGTTTAGATATCTTGGAACATGGCAAAAGATTGAACTTGTGTTTTGTAAAGCACTTAGGCTCCAGCTAATCCATTTAAAATCAAATTCCTCAACAGAAAAAAATCAGGAAAAATAAAATAAAATAAATTTTGTGGATGAAGTGGTTAATTAATTACAAAGTTTCTGCCAGTGATATCAAGGATTCCAGCTGCTGCAGATGCATAATTGACTCCATGAAGCACTTGGTCTCCAGAAGCTTCAGAAAAAGGAGGAATCAAGGGAAGTCCTAGCAGTTCAGCTGCATATTGAATATTATATTTATGTTAAAATAATATACATCAAAATCACTTGGAACGCCCAAGAGAAACAAATTTCTTTTTTAAAACATTATATTTTTAATAAATACAAAAACACTAATGTTGAAATATTGCCTTGATTTATATCCAAATTGGGAATGAAAAGGCCCCCTTTATATGTAAGAGCCTTTCCACCCGTGCAGCCCAACCCGAGGCTAGGGAAAAAAAAAAGCGGAGCAGCCCAGGCCCGGGGGGGGTGTGGGACCCACCTCCTCGGGCTGGCCCGAAGGCAAGTCTTACCCGAGGTCCAAAACGAGGGGGGTTACTGTAGCGCTACAGTATCTGCTACAGTACTGCTACAGTATCGCTACAGTATCGCTACAGTACCTCGCTGATTTGATTTTTTTTCCTGTTGCCACGTGGCGTCGTCTGGGCTCTCCGATCTGATTTTTTCCTCCAATCCAACGGCAGCCAATTTTTTTGCAATAAAATACTGGAAAAAATTCGGAAAATTTTTTTAAAAAATACCCAAAAATTAATGAATTTTTTTCTATAAATACCAGCCTTTTTTTTAAAAAAATTTATTTGAAATTTGAAATTGAAAATTTTATCCGATTATGAGATATGAATAGTATTGACACGTAGGAACCCGAAAATCTTATCCGAAAATATTATCCAAATTAATTATTGAGGTAAAAAAAGTTGTGAATAAAACAAAAAAATGAATAGTAACTGCCCTTAGCAAGGGCAACGGGTGGAAACACAAAATTTCGATTTTGCAAGGGCAACCACTATTCACGTGAATAGTTGCTGCCCTAGCTCCCCCCCTTGCCATGGCTAAGGGCAAATGGGTGGAGTTGCTCTAAAAATGGTAGGACAGGTGGGTCCATGCCATAGCAGAGAGACAAATTCTTTCTCATACAGAGCATACCAACATTACCAAGGGTAACCCATAATATATCTACAAATTAAGGATGGCTTTCAGATCACTTAATTTGTGTTTAATTAAAGAGCCGATTTTAAAAAATAAAGAACCAATATTGTTTTACCAACCCAAGATGTTTTTGCTCCCACACATAAAAAGATTAAAATGTATACATCAACTTTGTGACTTAAATTCAATCATAATACACTGAAATACTGATCTCACAGCAAAACATATTACACTGAAAGCATCAACAAATATTAACATGTATGTTAATTACACTACAAAATTAAAGAAGAGGACCTAGTAGAGAGAGAGAGAGAGAGAGAGACCTATTTCATCAACCATGGTGTAACCATTGGAAAAACGACCGGTAGGGCCACCATTGAAATCAATGCTATAGGGGGAAATAGTTAGCCTTGGCAAATGATGGGATTTTGTTGTTGTTGCCATTGTCAATCAAAGAGTCTCCAAACACAAACATGGCAGGCACCATTTCTGCTCTCCTCCCACCACCACCCACTTGACCTTGTGGTGCTGCTGCTGCTGCAGCCGCTGATGAAAAGTTCACATCTTGGCCCCAAACCACCCCACCCAGCACCATCAACCACAAAACCACCAAAGAAAAAACCCTAATTGGGGCCTTGGCCATGAATGAATGAATTTGTTTTGCTTGTTTTGAGATGATACAAATGTGGGAGGAAGTGAGAGAGGCACTTGTGTTGATAATGAATGAGGTTTTTGAGTATTGGCAAGAGCATGCAAGGGATGATTTAATAGGCGAGGCAAGGCGGTGGTTGTGAATGGAATAAATGTTTTCACCTGTTATCTTTCGTGCAGGAATTGAAGTAAAGAATCCATTTTTGTTCAAGGATAAATAAGAGTTTACTTTCCCAGCATTGTGCTGCATGCAGGTTCAAATTCCCTTGTATTTTATCTCCTTTTTTTTCTTTTTTTTTTTAAATTTGGTCTTTGGTTATAAACGGGGCCTGAGGCCCAAGCAAAACCAATAGGCACAAGAGACCAAAGTTCAAGGTAGTTTGCTTTTATCACCTTGCTAACTTGGGGTATGAGTTACCCTTGGGGCTTCGTAACTACGAGTCTGCTCCTAAATCCCTCTCAAGCTTGTTGCTGGATGATGATCTAGGAAGAGCCCATAGTAGGGCTGTGCCTTGTTAGCCTTCTTTTTTCTTTTCTGGCTTCGGCCTGCCATTATAAAAAAAAAAAAAAAAAAAAAAAATAGTTTGCTTTTATCACATGTTAATAGTTATTACGATGCTTCTTTCAAATAAAAAAATTGTTAGTAATTATGATGCTGCGAAAGGCCTCAAGTGAAACCCCTCCCCTAATTTTGACTATCACTTATAATAATAAAAAATATATAAAAATCAAATTATGAGCATTTACAATGCACTCCCTACCCCACCTCAGACAAAAAATCAAATTAGTTTGCTTTTTTCTTTTTGGTCAAAAAGGAGGGGAACACATAATTACAATAAGTTTTTGAACTCATAACCACTTAGGAACACACCAAAGATTTGGCTCGATCTAACTATCGACCCATTAGTCAAATAATTTGCTTTAATTATTACGATGCTCTCTCTTGTCTTTTATATTTTGGTAAACGCACTACAAAAAAAATCAGCAACAGCCACCTATTTTTTGTGACTATTGGCAGCAAGATTACCTTTGTTGGTTAGTACAAAACCAACCATGACCTTTATAGTAACATTGCAGTTACGAATTTTGGGTTGGTGATATTTGAAGGCGTGATTGTTGGTCTTTCTCACTAATTTAACAGCTTCGTGACAAATTTTAGCTGATTGTGAACTGCCTCTGAAGTGCATGGGGGCCCATAACACGTCAAATCAACTTTAGCTTTATATTTTAATATATCTAAAGTTTTACTTAAATCTTTATTTAACAGCTTCGTGATAGACCTTAAGCCTTCTTGCAAGAATGGGCAGTTATTATTATTATGAGTTGTAATATTTTATTGTGAACTTAAAAGTGTATTGGGAACTTACAAGTACATTCGGAACTTGAAAATGTGTATTATTTTATTGATTTGAGTTCTAGTTAGCTTTGTTTTTATTATATTTAATTCACCAGGACTAACCCAAATCATTGACCATCTACCTAAATGTAATGAAACTGATTTTTTTACTATGAAAAGGTGACTATTGCCCACTTTTTTTGTAGTGACAACGTAAGTTCAAGGCAGGTAGAATTAGGTTCCAACCACCAGTCTTGGAACCCAATATGTAAAGACACCTAGACGTTTCCAAATATAGTAGCATGCTTAATGTTGGTGGAGCCAACATGCCCTTTTATTAATGTTCTTGTTTTGGATGTAAACCTTTCAATACAATCTAATACATTCTTATCGTTTGGCAAAAAAAACAAAACAAAACAAAACAAAACCACAATAAGAGAGAAGAAAAAGGTAAAATCTACGAGCTAGTTCCAACAACTATGATAAATGAAGGCAATACGTTTAAATTATAAAAGTTTAATTATTGAAGGAATTATAAAGTTTTGATTGATATTTGAACCCTGGTTCTACTACTTACA